CAAATGACCACAAAATCGGTTTAAATTGCTTCCCAGTAGCTTTGTTACGGATAAAAACCGACCACTCAAGGCAATCCCTATTCAAAAACACACGCAAACTAAAAGTAAACCTACTGCTACAAACATTCGTAAAACAAATAAATTAAAATGTTTCTCCATTTAATTGTCGACAATTGTGCACGTGTCAGCAGCTTTAAATTAGCAGTTCAGAGGAGCACAAAGGATTTAAATTCGTTACTTTTCCATTGTTTTCTGATTTTCTGTTTTTATACCCTGTACCCGTAGGGTAAAAAGGGTATATTAGGTTTGTGCAAAGTATGTAACATGCAGAAGGAAGCATCTCCGACCCCATAAAGTATATATATTCTGAATCAGCATGACGAGAGAAATCGATCTAGACATGTCCGTCCGTCTGTCCGTCCGTCTGTCCGTCCGTCTGTCCGTCCGTCTGTCCGTCCGTCTGGATGAACGCGAGGATCTCAGAAACTATAAAAGCTAGAATAACCAAAGTTGGCACCCAGATTCTCCTAGATCCGAGTAAAGACGAGTTTATTTATTTTTTTTTTTAATTTTCTCCCCCCTTCCCCCGCTGCAGAATTTCGTCAATAGCGTCCACATTTCAAATGCTACCTAAACTAAACTATGCACACATAATTTATAAATAAATATCTACTGTTGTCTAAAATTTTATTCAATTCTGTCAATTCTAAGAAAAGTTAGTAGCGAAACAAATTCTCGCCAGTACAACCCCCACAAACTGCAGCAACAAGTTCGCTCTTCTTCTTCCTCTTTTTGCTGCTGCTATGGGCGCATATAACTCAGTGACGGAAGCTTACCTGGGTACAGGGTATTACACTGTCGGGCTTGCTCGACTGTAGCGTTCTCTCTTGTTGGTTTTTGTTTTTTGCTTCCTCTTTCATTGTCACATGTTATTTATGCTATTTATTTTCTCCTTTGTTGTAGGTCTATACATAAAAATGTATTCTAGCCTTCGGCTATTTAGGTCTTCCCACATTTTGAAAGGCTTAAGTTTAATATGCGAATAAAGCACAATGTAAACGTCAAGCGCATGCGGAATGCTCTAACTATTATTACGATATGAAGCAACTTTAAACAGAATTAGGCTGAAATAAAATTGCCTATCTAGTGGTACTCCAAATTGCCGAAAGCATTCGCATAATACAAGTATGCTTGGTGGATGTCCAGAAAGATAGCTCTCTAACTTACTGATAGCTTCGAAACGGCTAGTAAGTAGTAACATGGACCTAAAAACTACTTTGAAAAAGAGCTAATTTGCAGCGTTTGGTGCAATTTGAATTGATTTATTTATTTATTTGTTTGTTTGTTGCATAGTTACTAGTACGACAAGAAAATTTCTTAAAAATGAATGTACTAGTCACAATTTTCTTAGACAAAAATTAAAAGTGATTTGATTAGACTAATTAACCTATTTTTATGAGTTATATTTTATTTATACATATGTAAATTGTAGGTTGTTTTCTTTTGCTCTACAAGTATCTTTATCTTTATAATTAGTACATAAGTGCTGCCTACTGAATGTTAATGTATTAATATAGATGTTGTGCTTTGTACTTTAGTTTCACTAGTTATTCTCTTGAAAGTGTGCTTGAATTCTAGTTCTGAAATGCGTTTCATTTGCTGATTATTTTTGATAAGTTCGTAATGGTCTACCTACTTCGGTTTCAATTCCCAAAAGCCTGGCATAATTTTTCAAATTTTCTAATCAATCATTTCTGGGACTGTGCGCTATCTTCAACGCCATGTGCAATTGTTCTTTAAACGCTCTTGCTTGGCCTACATCTATTGTATTCTTATTATGTCTACGTTAGCTACTTAATTAATACTGGAGATATGAAGAAAAACAGTATTATGTTATCTTCAAAATATTAAGGTGATTTAAAGATATACTTGTATAACAAAACAGCGTACTTCTGCTCCTTTCCGGGGAATTGTTTTACATGTTGAGCTGCCTATAAAGCTAAATATAAACATTTGGGCAAGGCATACGAGTTCAACAATTTCAATTAACTTGGCCACATCACAGTCGGGCCAAAGACATGGGCGACTACGCCCTGCTTGAATTGTAACCGGATCGCCATGTATCAGGCCAAAGTCAAGGATCATTAAACTTTGATGGCGTTGGTTGGTATAGACCGACGCACAACTGATACAATGTTTGGCACTAGCATTGCATCTGCATAGTTGGCATGGCATTGGATTACCACTTTCAATGCGAACAGAGACGCTCAAACAGCCAACGCCCGCAACTGGCAACTGGTGTTCAGATAGCGTCACTTTCCTTTTTATGGAGCCGACTGTGGCACGGCTCCTCTATTCATGGCAGGCCGATCTGGCCAACTGCTTTACTTTTTCTTGTTAAGCGAAACCACGCAAAACGCTTCGCATTACTTGCGCTTTTGTGGTGCTCGCTCTTTGGGTCGGAGACTACCACTGCCACTGCCATTGACCATGGCCAGGACAGGACAGTGCGTGGACTTAGATTTGGTGTCGAATTGCGAGCGTCACGCCGAGGGGCTGCGAACAACCAATCATTGAGTGAATTATAGCCATTATGTTGTAAATATATCAACTATGTAGTAGCAAGGCGCAAAATGGTGCCACAAAACAGTTGAGCTCTGATTGCCATTTGCTGAAAATTATTAACAATAGGCGCCGAGTGTTGGGGCAATTATATCGCGCACTTGCGCTGTCGACTGTCGGCGGCCTGCGTGACTGCAAACTGAATATTTATTAGCAAAAACAACAACAACAGCAAAATGAAGAAAGAAGCTACTTCAGCGGCAGACACTTAAAGTGTTTTATTGGCTGCATTTGCCAAACCGCCCGCCGCATGTGCAACAGAATGTAACTGAACAGCAACCGAAGGCTGCTTTTGATACCGCCTGGGTTGCCGAAGATAATGCCTATGGTCGTGTTAATTGTGCTGATGGTGCTGCTGATTTTGCTGATGCTGGCGATCTATGGAAAACGAGAGCTAATAGTTCGTTTCACTTTTCTTTTATTATTTATTTATTTATACATCTTTGTACAAACAATTGTGCTTTGCTGCCACACTTGTTGGCTGCCGAGGCGTGGCCACATGTTGGCGGCATTGCAAAGCTGGCCTTCTACCAACCCCCCTGTCGACTTAATTGCTCGTGCTGTTTGCTTTTACTTTTTCACTACTGACTGAAAAATTGTTTTCTGCAAATTACTGCAAATTAATGAGCGCTAAATTAGCCGCATTAAGTTGAGTGCCACAAGCTTTAGCTGCCTGCGCTCAGCTTGTTGCATCCACCGCCCTACACATCTCAATACTAGGCACTAGTACTTAGTGTGTTTGTGTTTTAATTGCAACAAATAATGACAGCAGCCTTTGAACCTTTGGCAACAAACAAATCCCCCGGCGAAGATCAAAGACACGCCTTGGCAAACAATGCGAACTTCCAATTGAAAAGCACGCAGCGCCACTGTCGCAAACGGTAATGGGCACAACAAGCCAACTACAATGGGACCAAATCAAATACTATTACTAAATTATTAACCGAGAGTATAAATATTAAATGTCACTCTTTATCCCTCATATTTTGTATAAAAGTGATAAATGAATTTTTTATATAATTTCTTAACAAAAACTCGAAGAAAGTTTTATTTGTGTACAATATTTAATTATAGTGGAAGAACATTGTTTTACAAAGCTTTTAAATCAATAATTCAACACATATTGCTGTGTTAAAAATTCAAATAAAAATAAATAATTTAAACTATTAATACCGAGTTTGTACTATAATTGGAATGAAAATGTGTACATTGCTTGGCCTCAACTGCATTGTTTTCCTATCGATCCTAGAAGTAAACAAAAACATTCTAACAGACGGAAAATATAGCTACCAGCCCCAAAATAAATAATATTAGGCATTTAAAATACCATTAGAATACACATGATCGGAAGTACTAGAGCATAAGAAGAATGTTAAGGCTGTTATGAGGAACAAGTTTGAACTTTTTGAAACATGTTTAAAGGAAACATCTTAGAGTTGTTACTTACTTTCAGTCTATAAATGTGATCCTCACGTTTCCAATTCTTGAGTTTTTAGCTTGCGACCGCATGAATAACATCATCCTCGGCAGTCAAGAGGTCTCGCCTTAGTATTTCGATTATACCTGAGACAAGGGACTGTAATATAGACAGTCTTGTCTAATGTTTCTGTTTCTTGAGTTAACATTTTTGGTCTGCAACCGGATAAATCACATTCTGCGCCACAGTCAGGAGATAAGGCTTTGAAGCCTATTACAGTCATGGTTCTTCTCAACATATAGAAGAAAAAATATCCACAACTGTACCATTGATTTCAATTTAATACTGCAGTACGATTTTCTAAATTGGAATAGGTTTCCCTCGACAATTGCGATTTTTAAGAGGCTGCTGTTTTATTTGCATGGTCCTAACAAAAGCAACTTGAAGTATCATAGCACGTACACATTTATATTAGTTTATTTCGTAGTGCGCCCATCGTACTCTGCCAGTTGACGCCCGTCGAGTGCGCGCGCCGTTGACGAGGCCATCACTCAGCTGGCTGTCAGATCTGCTTGAAATCAAAACTATAGCAAAATTGTTTATAACATACATTGTGGCAGTGGCAGGGGCAGGGGCAGCGACTGCGCTTGGAGTGCGGCGACTGCGACTGAGACGGTTGCTGCACGCAGCTTCTGCTTTGGGCAGCCGTGGATGCTGCCACTGAGGCTTAACAATAAAACTGAGTGGCATGCAACGGCAAGCAATTAGTCTTTATAGCGGCGTGTTGCAATGCGCTGCAGCAGCTGCTTAAATATCAAATTCTACTCCGCGCTTAAGCAATATCGATGTGAAGGATACGCCCGCGAACTCGTCCTGTGAAGTGTGTTCGTAGAAGTGTCTAAGTGAGTGAGTGCTCGAAAGTAAAGTCAAAAGACTGTAAACGGTGTTGAGATTGGTCCAAGAACCAGAGCACATAATGCTGCACTACTTCTCAGCATGCACGGTTTGTGTGCTACTGAGCCTGCAGCTGTCCTCGGCGGCTATACACAAGCGTAGTGGTGCCCAGTCAGCCAACGCGCTGGGCCTTGAGCCTGCACAGCCGGAGCCAGCGAATCCTGCAGTCGATAGTGTGGAAAACACAGACCTCTTGAACAAGCTGAGCTGGAAGTGTGCCAACAATGCTAGCTGCCTATATGGTGTGGCCAATGGTATCTTGCAGTCTTATCGGCGCGGCGAGACCATCAAGCTGGGTCTCTTTGACTTGGTGAAGCTGCCAGCATTGCCGGCGGATGAGGCGCGCAGCAAGAAGAATAAATGGGGCAGCAGTCGGGGACTGTCCAGCTTCATGGATTTTGTCAGCGGGAATGCTGTACGCATACCTGTGGGTCCAATGGTCTTCAGTGTGCAGCGGGCCAAAGATGACAGCGATTACATTGAGGTGGCGCTACTTAAGAAGGCGACCAGCAGCACAGGTAGGATTAGTGAATCACAATATCTTTATCCTGTCCAGCTGTACACCCATCAATAAAGAAGCCAATCAAGACTGACACATGTCAGTCGATTTCAGCCGAGGCGCTAGCATCATTACTTAGACCCAATCAACCACAATCAGAATCTGTTGTAGCTTTTCTGCTTCTGCTCTGGGGGGCCCAATGGGCATGCCCAACCAGACGCATTAAAATGCCAGTTGGCATAATAAGGTGGCATGCCTCTGGTCCACTTGAAGCCACACGGACAACAATGGTGGAACGTGAAAACTTTGAGTTACAAATTCATTTGTACACGGCCCAAGAAAACAGCGTAAAGGCTATGCTTGGTGCATAATAATACAAGTAGACTCCGTCGCATTCCTTAGTCAGGCCACTCGATGCCGTTATTTATATCTATTAAATGCGGCGTTTGGTGGCAGGCCAGGATGCCTTGGAAGAAGCTGTTGTTGCTGTTGTTGCACCATTTTGTTGACACAACATCAATCATGATGTGCAGGCAGCTCCTGCGCTTGTCTCAATCACACACATATCCGCATACACACTCACTTTCCCAACCTGTCCTTGATGTGCCGTTAAATCCATAAAACATAAGACGTGTCCTGTTTTTTCAATGCTCGACAGGACGCTTGCAAGGCAGCGGCGGCGGCGGCCTGCTCGGCGGTGGAGGTGGCGGTTTAGGTGGACTGGGTGGTGACAGCGGCGGAGGCGGTGGGCTGCTTGGAGGTGGTGGTGGAGGTGGTATTGGTGGCGGTGGTGGCGGACGACGGCGGCATCAGCAGGACAAGAAGCAGTTCCAAATGTACATACCAATGTATCTGGCAGCCACGACATTTGGTTGGACAATGGTAGCCGCCAAGGCAGTAGGCCTTCTGACCCTCAAAGCACTACTCATATCAAAAATTGCCTTTGTGGTTGCCGCCATTGTGCTGATCAAGAAGCTAATGGACAATGCGAGCGAAAAGTAAGTATATTAGAGTTGCAGTAAATGCAACGACGTGTACCTCTGACCTTACTTTTAAGGATGATGTACCAATTCCCGGAGCACTCGCCCTATATGATGCCCTATGGTCTGGACTATCCCATGCATCCGGGCGATTTGGCCGCAGGCGACATGTACTCTTCACCTCTGCATCATATGGCTGCTGTTGGAGGTGGTCAGTTACCCCTTTCAGGCCATCCTGGTCTGGAGAGCCTGGCTGCGGAAAGCCATATGCACTCGCATGTGGCCGGCGATGGCAGCAACAATACAATGTTGGCCGCGCTCGGCGGTCTAGGCAGTGCAGGGCTGAAAGTGAAACGTGAGGATTCTTGGATAGCGAAGAGTAAGTGATAAGTGACGGCGCCATAAAGCAGCATTACCCTTGTTTCAGACAGCCAAGCTGTGGCCGTTATGGCACTCGCCACTGCTCTATCGTAGACGTCAACATTACGTCCATGCCCTTAAGAAACATGAGTTGTGGTCGATCGGCCAGTCACTGGCCGTGGCTGCTGCCGTTGCCGAGGCTAGTGTGGAGGAGGAGGAGGACGATGAATATGCAGATGACAGATAAACATTCTGACAGTGTATAAAACATTTTTCGCATTGCTACCCATTTGAGTTCCATGGGCTTGAATTCGTTTCAAGACCCCGTTTGCAAACAAAACTTTGTTTGAGCAAAGATTTGATGCTTATTTCATTTGGCAACACAAAAATTGATTCATTTTGGAAGCGTATTTCTCAGTTCTAATGGAAAATATTTATATTTTTCTAACTCTCCCCATTCAAAAAATATTTGGAGTAATATTTCAGATTTTTAAGACAGTTGTTATTGCTTGTTGCCAGAACCTTGTCTTTAAATCTTCCCGAAAATGTAAAACTCTGGAGTTCTTAATGAACTGTTTGGATAGTTCGCTATCTCTCTCGATATTTCTGTTCTGTTATTGAGGTGTTTCTTTGATGACTTACAAATTATAGTAGTATGGCAGTACTCGTATTTATAACTCTTATATGCCGAAAAGAAGAAATAATAACATAAATTTGTTTTATTTGCTTTTGAGAAACTTTCCATGAACATTTTGTTTTACATTTTCGTTATTAAGTACGGACATTTTCGTAATAACAAGAAGGATCATATTATATCAGCTCAGTTTCTTTTCTTTTTTTTTTTTCTTCCTTCTATTTGAATGAAAATATTTGCAAAAATATAGATTTATTGGGGAACTAATCAGAATTCACTATAAATATTATCTAGGGATTTAACAATTCGTGGCTGTAATATTTGAAATGGAAATGAGTAATACACGCTTTCATTAGAAAGTAAATTTGATAAAAACACATCGATATCTTGATGTGAGCGCGCCTCAAATTGAGCTTAATGAACTGAAGCACCGAACTAGCTCACCAGTGGCACGTGAACCAAACGAACTTGTGCACATCAATGCACGGCACCATATAGAATGGTTCAAAAATTATTCATAGCATACTTTTCGGCTGCACTCTCCACACTTTCTCCTCTGCATGCTGGCAAACCATGAAGCCCTTGCGTCAGAGATAAAGCACAATTGTAAGCTAAGTTTCCCCAACCCTCTTGCAGCCACCCCCGCAAGGCGTCCGCTCATCTACAACTACGTGCAGCCGCACATGCCCTACTACCGCTCGTAGGGAGGTGCCGGCGAGGCGAGGAAGGTGCGAAGGTGAGGAAGTCTAGCCAATTAGCGCAGCTGCTGCCCCCCCCACACAACCAAAGACAGTTGAGAGAGGTTTTGCTGCCATAACATCTGATGACGCCCCAGTGAGGATATGCGAAACGGTTGCGGGGTCTCGAATTCGTCCCTGCAATTCGTAAACTTAATTAATATTTTAAATCGATATTTCTACGTATTTATTTATTTATTGCCTGTAACGTGTTTAAGTTTAGTCGAGTCTAACGCACACATTTAGTTTAGCCGAATTCTTGTAATTAGCATCAAAATGCTACAAAAACCAAAAAAAAGCAAATAAATAAGTGAGCACATGGTTGCTCGAAGTTGTAATGTGTCTTGCATAACATTTATTTATTATTCTTCAATAAATATTAAATTAACATATAAATATATATAGATTAATAAATTACATAAACAGTGAAATAAGTGAGTGAGTGAAGCATAACAGATACAGCGAGCAGGCATAGAGCGATAGTACCCAGGCATGGAGCAAAATAAATAAGAAGAAAAATTAGCTTGAAAATGTACGAGTATTAATAGAAATAGAGCAAGTCAAATAACGAACAGTCGGCAAATACGGGTAACAGTAACAGTCAATAAGAGCCCCAGCTAGACCGTCCATCAATCAGGGCATAGTAATAACACGCACCACATGCTGCACTGTTTCATTTATTGCCTGGCATTGCCCCCGACCCCGCCGCAGCCTTAGGCTGCTGACCTCCATAGGCCATTTCCTGCGCATCTTGAGCCAACAGTTGGGCCGGCACCTCGGCCAGACCCTCTACAAAGCCATCGAGGGCGCGTGCCCAGCCCGAACTGTAGCTGTCGTGGTGTGCTGGCACCTCCACAATCGTTTTCTTGTGCGAGAGCAGCTTCTTCAGCGATATGATAACCGCCAGCAGAAGTGCAATCTTTGACACTATCAGAGCCTTGCCGGCTAGAAGGAAGAGACCCTTGAGCAGTATGGCTCCCACCACACCCGTCTTGGCCGCCATCATCATTAGCATGGGACCCATGTTCTTCATCTTGCCACGTCCCTCCTGCAATGCCTCGATGGGTCGCACGGAAACACCGATGTTTAGATTACCCTGGGGCTCGCTGCCGAGCACAAAGTCCGCGTTGTCAGAGAATTTATAGCGTAGCGTACGTGAGCGCACAAACTTCCACAGCTTGTTGGCCAGCAGCAATCCGTAGGTTTCCTCATCGGAATCTATGGCACGTGCCAGCAACAAGTCATCCTCGGGATCATCTGGTATCTCCGACACATCTCTGCGGACGAGAAATGCCGGATGGGTTAAGTTTTGTTACAAAATTTAGTGACATCCATCCGCTGACCCACTCACTCACCTATTTTGTAAGACCTTGACGTTCTCATTAAGCTCGATGCTGGACTTTTTGAACAGTCGATTCATGAACACAATCAGCTTTAGCATCATACAAGAATGATTGTCCCTTTGGCTGCACTTTAAATTCAACTTGGCAAGTATCTGCTCCTCCATTCGGTTGCGATAGTCGGCGCTTATCTGTGGATAGGACGAGGTGGATTGGGTTCGTATGTTTTCAAATGTCAATTTCAGCATCGTTTGAGTTTCATTTGATTAGCCTAAGAGCTCAAAGAGCAGTTGTTCTCAAAATATAGCCACATGCCCTAAATTTGGGGTCAAATGCTTTTTGCTTTTTTTTTTCAGGACCAAAATTGATTTCTGTGTGCATAATAAATTGAATTAGGTCTCCCCTCCCTAGAACCCTACAGCCCATCACAATTGTCTCTGTGGTCGCAATCAAAAATTGCTGCAGGACATTGAGCTTAAATGGCACAAAATGGCCGTCAGCTGGTCCACAGAACATGACCAACACTTGCGGACCCTTTTATGTATCGATAAGGCAACAGTTTGGCTGGCAAAATGTGTGTTTTAAAAACAAAACCCATTAGCTGTGCAAAGTTTATACCTCCTTTATGCTTGATTTGGCCAGCCAAAAAGTTTTCGCCTTGTCTTTATCGCACGGCGCTAATTCCATTTTCTTTCCTTCTCCCGTGGCTTACCGAGTTCTCATTGGCGGCGATGGCGGGCGTGCCTTGCGACGTGGCCAGGACGAAAATCAGGGCGAGCAGACTGTAGGCCGTAAAAGTTAGCATGTTGCTGCCGTTGTGGTTGTTGGTAAGCGTAAATTATTTTTGTTCGATTTTTGAGGCTGGGTATCACTGGAGAGTTGAGTCAAGCACGTTATTTTTTATTTGAATGCACGGCCACGCACAATTTCACATATGTGGCGAATGTCCTGCTATCCTTTGGCGCACACTCCAGCACACGCACGCACGCACAAACAAACAATCTCTTGACACACACACTTCAGCCGCGGCACGTGCTGCGCTTTTCCGCCTACTACTGCTTCTCAAATGTCACGCTGACCGTAAAGCTTGTTGTGGTGGTGCTGCTGCTTCTCTGCCAGCTGCCGCTGTTGACATCGTCGTGTTATAAGAAAACCTAATGCGAATTTTCCGCCTGCGATTTGGGTTTTATATGAAAAGCAGAAAAATCGTCGCAAATACAATGCAGGCCTCTGTCAACGCTGGCGCCGACAGCGTTTGTTTTTACCTCGTCGCATTGACTTTGCCATTTTCCTGAAAACTGGTCCCAGTGTGTGTGTGTGTGTGTGTGTGTGTGTGTGTGTGTGTGTGTGTGTGTGTGTTTGCTCACAAAGCCCAAAAAAATAAAAATATAAAAAGACACACACACTTGCTCGCTTACAACGCTGATGACTCGTTTTGCTAGTTTCAGGAAATTCTAACTTGATGTCGTTTCGGAAGCTCTCGGCCATATCTTTGTGGCCTTGTCTATGGAGAAGCAGCAGCGACTACAGCAGCAGCCTACTAACTGTCTACCTAATGTTGTTTATGTTGACGACAAGCTCTCTCTGTCTCCTAGCGTCCCCCCCTACGTCCCTACCCCCCTATTAACCACCCTCCAACGGATCGCATGGGTCATAACAATAACAAAGCAACTGAAAGTAAACAACAGCAGACCCAATTCCCAACAACAAAGGAGACATTTTTCCCACAAAGAAACCAACAAATACTACAACAACTCCGATGGCAACAACACGCATGCAAACATGAAAACTTTTTAGTTAGCCCAATTAGCTTGCGGCACTTTACCAGAGCCACTGCCAGCCACAATGACAAAGACAGTGGCGTCGTCGCTTATTTCAACCTGCAATTAATTTTTGTGTTTAGAACTAATAACATTTTTGTAAGTTTCTATCAAATGAAAGTAACGACTTGAGGTAATTGTTTTCGACAAGGGAGGGCCAACGAATGCCATTAGACACGATGGATATTCGCATGGCTATTAAATGATGACGTGCATTTTTTCTCACATTCTCTCCCATTCAATTTAATTTTTGAAATATACAAAGATTTGGGACAATTCTCTTTACTTCCTCAGCTTTCCCCATGGCCGGTTCACCACATAGTTCCAGTTTTGACCAATATTGTAGAAATTATCAAACGGATAAGTGGGATCCTTGCCTAAGCCACTATTGATCCCCCAGTATCGACCGGTGTACGGCGTAGTCGAACGAGGTCTTTTGGGTCGAGGTAACGGCTTCCGTGTGGTTGTTGTGCCAAATATCCATTTGTAGAAACGACCAGGTGCCTGTGTATGATCATATCTTTTTCGTTCGCACTTCCCTGGGCCACCGATAAACTGATAGCCTTTTTTGCAGCCATATAAATTTTTGTTGACGACTTGGTTTCGTTGATTGATATCGGGAACACATCCGTTTTCATCATAGCTCCAGACATAGCCCATTTCACATGAAGGATCGTCCTCTAAAGAATCACTATCGTCATGCATTCTCTCTGCGGACAATAATGGCTCATTGAGCTCAACCAACGGGGGGTTATCCCATGGCACCAGTGACGGATTTCCAACAGATAGCACTGGTCCAGTATTATTCCACAGTTCCATGTCAACTGACGAATATGGGGCTGTTGTCTTACTTCGCTATTTGAATTTTTAGCCCGTTAATAAAATTAAATGATTAGTCATGCATTGAGTGATGTGCTACGTCGCATTACAAGTAGGTGTCTTTAATTTTCTATATTCGTATTCGCTGAAAACACCTACATATATATCCCTTCGTTAAGACAAAATTGCCCATAAAGTTCTGAATTCCATAATTTGAAAACAAGCTAGTTAGTCAGGCAATTTATTTGCACCTAACTTCAAAGATTTTGAACAACCAAAACAATAATTGCATAGCACCAAGTAATTTATAGGTTTATTATTTATTTTATGTAATTAAGAAAACACTCCCAATGCGACCAAGCTTGCTTATGTTTTGCAATTGATTAGTATTTTGAAAATTACTTGATTACTTCTACACTGAGCTTGTATACACGCTTAGTTTTTGGGTGAAGAAATTATAATTAAAATTAAAAAGGTGGCGTTTCGAACATAAATCAGAACTTTTAAAACAAATATTGTGATCCAAACTTTTAAAACTTAACTAATCAACTATTAGGGTTCGAATATGTTTCAATTAGTTCACCTCTATTAGCGAACACCAACTAAAGAGCAAGTAAATGGCGCATCAAGAATTGTGGAAATTGTGGAAATGCATATCTGTAAAAATATCGCATATACTATATGTCCCCCATTTGTAACCTATAGTATCAGAGGAGGTATCTATTTGCCGGTAACGCTACTTCTGGCCTCACTTGCGCCACCTCTGCCCACTCACGCGTAATAATGTCTGTCGGGTTCCCACATTAGTACGCCTCCTTGGCATTGTTCATTCATGGGCGCCCTCAACAGCAGGCGTCATTAACTTTTCACCTACAATGCTGTTTTCCATTTCGATTCTCACATGCAACTGAACGCCCATTGCTGCAATGCCTTGAATTTTGTGCCCATTAAAGTAAGCGACATTTATTGTATTTGACGTGGCTCGAACCGCCCAGGGCGTAGCCCAACAGGTGGCGCTCGTGTCCGCCGCCCTGCACCGCCCACCTTGCCACTTGCCAATTGGCAAGCTCTAGTTATAGGAATTGAAATCAATTTGGCCGTCATGGCACAGAAAGTCATTACAAAAGTTATTGCATATGCCAAAAAATTGCCAGTCATGTGTGTGTGTGTGTGTGTGTGTGTGTGTTGTTTGAATTTTCCAAGGCGGTAGAAGTAGGGTAACAACAACAGCAGCAACAACAACAGCCACAACAATAACAACATCGACGGCTGTTTAGAAATGTAGCACGCTAGGAAAGTGGCTGCTGCCAGTCGGACGAAAAACCGCTACGAGCTCTGGCCATAAATTGGATGCTGGTGGTGTGTGCATGTGTGTCGGCATGGGTGTTACCAGTGTGTGTGTGTGCGTGTGTGTGTGTGTAAAATCAAACCGCACCAAAATCGAAAACATTGCGTCCGCCCGAGTTGCAGCCCAGCCACTACGTTTTGGCGTTGCTGCCAGAGTCATAACAATTTCTCATGTACCGAACCCGCTGGCTCGCTTTCTTTCGGAAAATGTGGTCCAGTCGGCCCGCCAGTTAGTCAGTTAGTCAGTCAGTCAGTCAGTCACTCAGTCGACACTTTGCCAGTGTTGTCAACGCTGTAGCTTAGGCCTTTAGCAGCTTATTTGAAATCGGCCAACCCGCTTTTCAATTGCCATTGCCATTGCCATCGCCATTGCCATTGCCATTGACTTTGAACTGCCAACAGCCAACACCGGTCCAAGCCAGCATTGAAGTTGGCCGAATCGAAGCAAGGTAAACACGCTCAGCCACTTTTCTTTTGCTAATATTGTTGCTGTTGCTGCTGCTTGGCTTGGCTTGGCTAGGCTACCAATTTCACGGCGTGGCATTTCTTTTGCTTTAATTAAAAGTTGCATTTTATTTAAAGCTATAGAAAATAGAAGAAGACAAAAGCAAAAGCAACACATTGTGCAGTGAAATTTTTGCCATTAATTAGACAACCAGCGCGTCCAGAAAATCATTGCAATTGAACTTATAGTGGAAATTTATTTACAATATAAATATAAATAACATATTTCATGCTTATAGGAAGGCATGACAGCTAGGCACACAACAAGTAATAAATAACAAAGACAGAGAGGGACGCTTTAGCTCGCCTGCTGCAGAGGAGCCGTGGCTTGGGGCTGGGCCGTTATGTCCTTGCCCGTATTGCGTCCATAATAGCCATTGTACGCAGCCTCGTGCGCATCGCCGAAGCTCACGGAATTGACGCCCACTTGCTGCTGTTGTTGCAACTGCAGCTGCTCCTGACCCTGATAGTTCTTGCTGTAGTAGTCGACGTAGGGCTTCGAGAAGGCCGGATCTTGGCGGTAGAAGGGAGAGCTACCACCGCCATGGCCGCCCTCGTAGTGCTCGTGATGGTGGTAGTAGGTGGCTGGCCCCACACCCTGGGGTGTGTAGGCGGGGAAGGTGTTCTTGCTGCCGAATAGGCCAGACAGACCGCCGCCAAAGGCGCCGCCCACACCGCCAGGGGGACGACAGAGCTTGAAGTAGGCAAAGAGTCCGGGCAAAATGATGGCAGCCAGGCCCAGAATTTTCTTAAGACCAGCAATGCCCAGGATGAAGGGCAGGAAGAGCAGCAGCTTCAGCTTGAAAATCTTCAGCACCAACAGTAGTGGAATAATCATTTTCTTAATCTTCTTGCGAGCTATTAAAATGGCAACAATTAGCTAAAGTTCGTAATAGAAAATGATAGATTAACTTACAGAATGGACCACCGCTCTTATTCTCAATGACATCCAACTCGCTATCAATCTCATTGCCAATGAAACGCGCCTCATACCGACCAGCCTCGGTCAGCTCTTCTGGCCATTCCAGCTCCAATGCCGTCGACTTGATAAAGCTGCAAAAACCGAAAGCCAAAGGAATAAAGGGTTAAACATTTTTATGGGCCACTTGAGAACAAACAATTAAAAATGCACGATTTCTTGCCGGCTGGCTCCCCAAAAGTTAATTAATATACCAAGGTGCTGAGGCCTCGGCCTTTTGGCTGCCACTTCGGATCGCTGTCATTTATCTAATTATGTCACTTACCGTTCGGCCCTTCGCAGAGCATATTTCACCAACTGATTCCAGTCGTCGTCGTCGCCACGTGGCTCCTCCGAGTATTCGAAGGGTTCCTGCAGCAGCGAACGCTGCTGGGTTTCCGGCAGACGCACCACACGAGCAAAGTCAGACAAACTGCATAAGAAGAGTTGAGTTGAGATTAGCAAGTGGATGGATGTTCGAATAAGACCATCTAATTGACTTACCGATACTGATCCTTGTAGAATATTTCATCGAATGTGCCCAATGCCTGGGTCTTGAAGCACTCAGAGAGATCCCCGCCCAGACAGTTGGTATTAGTACGAGCCAAATAGGGATCATTGTCGTTGCCCAGACCGAAGATGCTCAAAATAGAAGAGCGACCACGCTCCTCGCCCTGTGGTTGAGGTTGTTGCTGCAGCTGTGGCTGCTGGAACTGCTGTTGTTGCGGCTGCGGCGCAAATATTTGCTGGACATGAGGACTCTGCTGCACATTGTTGGACTGTTGGTCCGGCAGCTTGAAGCCTTCGCCGGCTACCAAAGCCAATGAAGTGCTGGCAACCAGGGCCAGTAAAGCGAACGCTCCCATTGTTGTCATGGCTGCAAGCAGAGATGGTAAAAGAAAAATGTAAAACACGTCCGTTGCTGACACCAGGCTTAATTGATTTCCCATTCAAAGTAAACGAGATTCGATCATTGCTATGGCTGTTGCTACGGCTTCTTGCCACTGCTCAATAAAACATAAACAATTTTCGATTAATTGACACTCAACCGACAAGCGGCGATAACGGTTCGACGTCGTTTTCACTGCTTCATGGTCTCTCATTGGATCTTTGGCTCAATCATGCGATAGCCCCAAAAACTCTCCGCACCTTTGGACTCTAACGACTTTGTCTGTGTCTCCGACTGCGTCTGTATCTCTTCACAAAACTGTAAAGCGTTTTCGTTTTCGTGCTTACTATTTGGCAACTTTTACGCGTTTTTGGCTGATTTGGCGCACCTCTGTCTCCACCTCCACCTCCGCTCACAAACTCTGACACACTTTCCAGACGCATTACTTGGACCGGACGCTGTGCATGCGTCAGCATCGTTAAGCGTTGCCTAAGCTTTTGCCAAGTAAGTTTTCTTCTCTTTTTTGGCGTACCTTCTACAATTAGGCTTAGCCAACACGTAATAACTCTCACTTTCAAGCGCCAAGCGGTGCTAATGTATTGTTCAAATGTTAGCGCCAAGTCGAGCTCAGCTAGACCGATCTGAGCTTTTCGTTTTGACGCAGAAAACGACGCCGTGCCTTTTTGTTGCCTCATTACCTGCGCGTTCATTTTGGATACCATTGAGCACAATGTGCCCCTGAGAGTGAAATGCAACAGAAACCGGTTAATTTTGGGTCTCTTAACCCTTTGGGTGCGCAAATGGCGCAGAAAATGCACGTAATCCAATCGCGCTGAATTCATGCAAATGTTGCCCACTTAGGCGAAACCAAATACACTCTAAAAAGGTCTACAATTTTCACCCAAACAGCGAATGCCGACGGATATTGTTGTCTGACAACAAAGTGCAAAAAAGCGAACAAAATGCGTTTATGGTAGAAGTAGTAGCCAACAGTAGAACAAATTGAAAATTTCACTACTCAAATATAAGCTTGAAGAATCTTAGAGAGGACTGTACTCTACAAATAGGCTACCAAGAGGAAAATTTCAAATTTAAATCTGAAATAATGAGTCCCTCAAAATTACGAATGCAAACTTTCAAATATTTTTTGAGAGTTTCTAATTTAGAGAACTTGAAATATATACTTTTCAAAATATGATCGTCCAATTTTATAGCCTGCATTTTATAGTATTTATATAATTTAGTCATAATTTTGAATTTTATTATATAAACTTAAATCTAGCTGCATCCAAAACTATAGCCTGACATTAAAATTTAACTGAAAAATTCCGACTAGCTTTTCAAATTTAGAAAATGTGTTAAGGGCAATGAAATGCCGCAACTGCTTTTGTTATACAAGTACTGCGCATATTTTTAGAAATGCCTCGCTTTCAGCCAGAGAGATAATTTGTTTCAGATATCTCGGGAGCAACAACAAAACACCCACCCGTTTGCTACATTAAGAAATGATCTAAACAAGGCTTTTCGCTGACGAACTGCATGCTAACGAAGTTTGAATAGAAATTGAGAAATTGTTCAATTTCAATCAATTACTCCGCGCTCTGCTCTCGATTCTGCTTGTCGCTTTACGCTTTACCCATTAGCCCCCATTGTCCAAGTCGCGGCACGCAATGTCAGTTATGCTTGAAAGGAGCCGATGCCGCTTTTACTTTCGCTTTTGTTTTGACAGCCGCGCAACCACAGAGCCAGCAAAACAAATATATACTACATGGCTATCTATCGATGTACTCGTAATTGTTGGACAAATGTTTTGCGTCTTGGGCTTGGGCTTGAAACTTCCTCGAACGCGCCGACCAAGTTCAAAACTCGGTTCATTTAAGCTGTCGAAAGTTCAGGTACGCCTCAAAGTAGGCAACGCAAAATGTGTTATAGCATGAAAGTGGAGCTGTTATGGCAACATAATACCCTCCCACTCGAAAGTATGCTGCCCCATTTGGCAACTTCAATTAATGCGCTTACCGCCGCACTGTAGAAACTAATTAAATATAAAATCAATCAAAGCCCAGCTCCCAAATACCTCCGCAGGCCCTCCCGAAATAGGCAGCTTTAAAATAAATAACAACAACAGAAGAGGAAACAAATTAATTAGTTATGTATTAGCTGGCCTACGGGCATGTTTAGGCGTCCTCAGGATATGTATATGGTAAATATTTGGGTGCCTGTATGTACGTATGTATGTACGAGTATGTGTTTGATTTCAAAATCTTGCCCAATTTTTTTTTGCATTACCGCATTTTCTATCGCCTGTTAGTTTTTTGTTGTTTAGCCGTTTTGTTTTGCTTTCAAATTTACATTTGCCATTGAAGGTCAATGAAATGTGGCCGACCTAATGGGCATTGCCAAATACGTGGAAACAGTCATACATATGCAAATGCAAATTGTTGCTGCCTTTTTTAACTAATTTGCATGCGGTTCGCATTAAAATTATTTATCTGTATATGAACTTTTGGGCACTACTGTACCGCATTGCCACTCGAATTTTATGGCTTTTCCCGCATCTCTTTGTTATTATTTTTTGCATATTACACAACTGCTTGCAGGTCGCACTTAACCGCAGCAAATCACAACACATCACTTCACTTTTGCTTTTGCTTTCGCATTTGTTTACCTTTAACTGTTTCCTATAAACGCTTGGTGTTTTGGGTTGTTTATATCCTTTACGGCTAACTTACACCGAGACTTTGCCTTTTGGCTGGCTTACAAGCGACTGTGCCGTGACTGGCCGGCTGCAAAGATTTTATATGAAATGCGAGAAGTGGCGAGAGGAGAGCAGCGACAAAAGCAACAAGCAGCTAACTGAAGCACCGCCTCGAGTCAACGCACAAAGCAAAGTCAGTCAACAAACAATGGCCCCTTGTCAGTGGGCCAGTCCACATTGATGATGGTGACGGCTACCTCAGTACTCGTATCGTCGATCATAAGTCGACGCGTGGTCATAATGACGACGATGACGACTTCGTCAACACCGTCGCTCTTGCGGTAGGTTGGGGTTAGCATCGCCCGATCGATGTAGGTCTGTGGGCTGAGACGTCAACGACTTGCTGCGTCCGGCTACTTAACTGTCTGGCCGTCTTGGTCGTGTGCCTTGAGAAAATCCCAAAAACTTTTTAGAGGCGCACGTCGAGACCTTGGGTTAAATTCGACTTTAATTTAAAGAGCAAATCGTTGGCTTCGCCGATGACTCAGCGTCCGCAGAGTGGGGAGCGTACGTCGTACGTCACTGCCACAGCACAGAGATTATGTAACCCGGGTTGGCATAGGTAATAATCACTTTTTGCCACAAGACATTCAACTGGTTTTGGAAACGCCCACATGGCCACTCTATTGTTAAAAGTCATGGTAAGATGTGAATAAACTGTTTTCCTCAACGTTTTCTGATTTTAAAACATGTGGGATGCAAGTTGCAAGCGAATTTGCCTGTGCCCCAAAAGAAATTCGTGCATGGACGTGCATGGACGTGCATGGGGGGCAAATAGTTGTACTTAATACCTATTAATAAATACATTTTTAAAAAGTATAGTATGTTTTTTGGTTGCCCGTCCTAAATGGGCTTCTTCTAGTAAACAATATTTACATCCTATATAGTAAGAGAAAAAACATCGAAATGGATATTTAAACATCAGCTTTAAACATTAATTGAGACTACATATGAGTTTTTAAACCGCTACTAACTATCAGTGTTGTTGATCATAAATATTTAATTGTGTAAAATGTAAAGTTGTAGCTTTTTCTTCTCTTAGCTGAAAATAAATAAAATAATAAGATGACACAACAACTTTTCTTACGCTCTTCCCCTTCAAGAGCTCGCTCTTGCCTACACCTCTGACTTGAACACACTGCGTGTCCGAAACAGAAACTGTTGCATTGAGTGTCGTGATGCAATTGCCAGCAGCTCCACTTACATGCGGAAAAGCCCCGAAATGTGGCAAAGCATAACACAATGCGTTGATTGTGGAAATTCCCCTGCCATCTGGTGTTTATTTTCATTTGAAAGCTGTGCTGAGAATGTAGCAAAAAGATAACAACTGACTAGTCCGTGCAGTAATTACAATTTTGGCACAGCCTCCCGGGCGGTACTGTCGCTCTGGGGTTGGGGTGGTCGTTCAGTTGGCAACTTTAATGCTAAATGCTAGCATGTGACAACGCTGGACGAAGCTGGACATTTAGTTGATGTTGCATGGACGCCGGCATGCGTGTGCCAGCAGCTGTTCGCTGTGCGCCTCAAATTGCTTTCCACTTAGCTGTTTTTGCAAATTGTTGCAAATAAGATAAGCGGAAATTATATTAACATTGCGTGAGAGCTCCTCTGTGGACGGCGTAATGTGAAGCTAATGCGTTAAACCCTTGCCAAGGGCAGACTCTAATTTATTTAGGCAGAGGGCAGGTGCACGTTAAAGTACATTAATTACAGCAGCTTGCTTAAATGGGTGACCAAACAGCTATGTTGTACAAATTTCCGTTGCATTTAAGTTATTTGGTACACATGAGTTTATTAATTTGGATTCGTTCGTCAAACATGTTATTGTAAAAGCGAACTTGACCAAATTTCACTTTGTTTTGAGAACAGTCAGCTTGAAAACGATTGCAATATACACAAACAAAATAAACATATTTCCTTAATGCGAGGGCTTTGTGGGCCAGTTAGTGCTTTCATTTCTAATTGAAAATCATTTTAATTGCTCCATCGAGCATCAAGATTTAAATATTGTCTTTGGCCAGAAATTTAATATTTGTAAGCAGCATGATTTCACTTCTCGTTTTGTTCGAGGAGGAAACTAACTGGGAGAAAAACTAACTTTTTGAAACTGGAAATTAAAATACGAAACTAAATTAGGGTCATGTCATTCGTAAGAATTTTCTCGCACACACTCTTTAAATGTTGTAAGATATTGATACATTCTTAGGACAAATTTTATTATTTCTTGTGATTCAAGCGTCTGGGAGCAAATTAACTTTTTGAAACTGGAAATTAAAATACGAAACTAAATTAGGGTCATGTCATTCGTAAGAATTTTCTCTCACACATTTTTTAAATGTTGTAAGATATTGATACATTCTTAGGACAAATTTTATTATTTTTTGTGATTCAAGCGTCTGGGAGCAAACTGAAACTGGAAATTTAAATACGAAACTAAATAAGGGTCATGCCAGTCGTTAGAATTTTCTGGCACTAACTTTTTAAATGTTTTAAGAAAGAATTTGTCCGTTTTACAGATAATGATATATTCTTATGTTATAAGGAAAAACTACTTCTTACCCTGAACTTAATACACTGAAGCGTATATGACAAAAGTCTAATCAACTAATGTGCATATGTAAGAAGCCGAAAGAGACATGTCAGATCCCAATCTTTTTATGTAGAAATATATTTCAATTTTTCTCAAAAAGTTCAAAATGTGGCGTTGGATTTAAAGACTCCATTGTTTATTTGCGGAGAATCGTGCAATTAATTTACTAATAACTTAATATAATATCCCTATAAAAATGATACGTGACTTTTAAAATGAGATAAACGTATAAGTAATCCAAAACGGGTTGCACGTTTTCATGTTATGACTGTGCACTAAATCGAAACCAACTAAAATATGGTGATTTAATTATTTCATATACAACTACTAACTCATAATGTGAATTTCAATAATTACAAGCACAATTCAAAATGCTTTGCCCTCAATGCAGACTAATTTCAATAAACTTTAAAATGCCTTTGGCAAGTAATTCGGATAAATGAATAAAATACACATTTTCCCAGTGGCCCAGTTGCTGCAAAAATATTTGAATCATGATATTAATAATAATTTACAGGAATTTGCTTATTGCTTTTATTTCCTTGTCTTTATGGAACTCATTATGAATGTTGCAGCCATTCATTTATAAATTAATTGGAGCTCAATTTATTATTATTAATTATCTAAGAAAAATCGATGTGACTTTGATTCAGCTTCAAGTTGTAAATTTTATTCTATTTCTTAATATTTGACTTTGATTTATGTTTCTATTGTTCCGATTGACATGCTCTTCGACGCAAATTAACAGCGTAATGACACATTCCATACAAAATTCCAAAATTGTTTGCCTGTTTCTTTCCACGATAGTTTGTGTGGCCTTCAACTAGGATCTGCTAATACTAATACATAATACATACCCATAAAATAAAGCTGCTGTGAAACACATTTTTCGGCTTTGAAAATATAAACAAATTTAAATATTTATTTATTATAAATAAAATGACTATAAAATGATAACAACGATGATTAGGATGAAACATAAATAGTTGAAATAAATAAATAGTTTAAGCATACTAAGTGTGTATTATAATACTAAATATTTCGTTAACTTACAAATAAATACATATGTTTAATGGCTAAATACAACGACTGTTGATAGTAAATTTGTTAATTACACTAAAGAAATTTCTCTATTTACAGCACATCAGTGATTTATTCCCCCCACGAAATGCCCAAGACGTCTTGACGTCTCGACGCCAGCGCGTCGATCTTTTATATATATGGCTACGCTATCTAAAATCTAATTTGCATAATTACTGCTTCAAGACATGCCTCAAAAAAATTCGGGGCATGTCGATGTGTACATTTTTGCACAATATTGTTTCTGGTGTTGGAGGCGTTGTTGTGTTGTCATCATTATTGTCGCCTACGCCAATTTTCGCGCCTGTACCAGTTTGTTGATGTCGTTAAAGGTGGAGAGCATGGCGGGATTTTCGAAATCCTTGAATTCCTTGCATTTATCAAATGACTGCTCGCAGTCAACGCCATCCTGCCCGTCCTTAGCAGCACGCATGTATTTGAAGAAACGTAAGATGTCCGGGTTATCTGATGTGGGTTTTCGCAGCTCGTTCAGCTCTCTGGATACATAAACGAATTAGGAACAGGAAGAGGAAGGAGAAAAAAGAGGAAAAAATGTAAAAGGTAAGCAAGGCGTTGATTTTTTCATTTGAAATGTAAGCCAAAGCGAATTCTTGTTAGACGTGTGAGTACAAAGCCTTAGCATAGCATACTTTTAGGCAGTCACCATATGACTCACCGACTCAATTGCGCCGAAACGAGATTGCTGTACGGTGCATACTTTGCGGGGTTCGCATACATCAAACAGATGAGTTTTTCGCGACAATTCTCATTTTCAGAATTGAGCTTCAGTTGAGCGAACACCGAGTCCAAGCGTGACAGCAAGGGGCTGTAGAAAGGATCGTAGTTCGAGAGCAGTAGCGATGAGTTCGGCACCTTCTGGAAGCTCTGGAACGTGTTCATGTTGGCCGGTGCCACTGGACGTTTCGCCATGCCCGGAGCTGCCAACCCAGCGGTCGAGGAACCCGCGGACAGGCTCTGCGAGTTCTTGAAGGACGCCGCACCAATACTCTGCAGAGCACTCAGATAGGTGTCCTGCATCAACTGCTGCTGTTGTCCGCCATAACGCGAGAGAGCCTGCTGATTAATGGCATTCGCATTGAAGGGCGCGTATTGCGCTTGCTGCTGTGAAGCCGCTGTGTTTATTAAAAAGAGGAAGAGACAGCTATTGTGGGTATATCCTGCTTTGACTATATGCCTCTGACACGTACCTGTATTGTATTCATAAGCCCCATTGTTTTTACTGCCTTCATCTGCCAGACTAAACTTATTGTCGTCATCAAAGTTCACGCTGTTGTCCCTAAAGTCCAACTCCTGTGGCGCCTCCATGGGTCGTATAAACAACGGTACCGAACTGGCCGAGCCAGATGTGATGCCTGTTGATAAATGATGCTGCATTAGCCAAGACAGATCCCACCACATGCAATAAACAGATTTCAAATACCTTTGCCTATGAGGCGACTCACACTGCCAATTATGGTGGGCAGGAACAAGGCGAAAAGCAGGCTCTTCAGCACCTGCAAGCCCATGTAAATGGGCCACATAATCTTCTTAAGACCTGCAATGCAAATGTTTGTTAGATTTGTTTAAAAGTTGTTCATACAATGATATGAATTTCAGAACGTTGGTGTGAATTGCTTAATTTAATTCCGAATACTATTCTTCCGCGCCCTTGTATTCTCTAAAATATGAAAATCTTTTCAATTGATAGGCAAAGTTAAACAGCTTCTTTCGATTATCATATATTCTAGTTTATAAAGCTTTGGTAGTGAGTAAATGCCATCAAAGTGTATTATTTGCAAAAATCTCTTTTCTTTGTTAGAGTTCTCTGCATTGAGACCTTCTATATATACATTTCCTTAGTTTCCGATTGCTTTAAATAGTTAAATTATTCTTACAGTAAAGAACTTACGGCCAGAAGAGCAAATTATTAAATTTGTAAATTTGTAAATGTTGTAATTAATTTGATAACACAACTTTGAAACAAATTCCACAAAATTAATTAATTGCAACTTTTTGCTGGCTGTTTTATTATCTAAAGAGAACCAAAGTTCGTGATATCTAATTCGCGGAATTTTTATGACAGAATTAAAAGGGATATAATGCACTTTAGTCTTGTAATATGTATTTCTTAATCTGGGCACTTGCTTTTCATATGTTGGCTTACCTGTGAAGAACAAGAGACGTCCACTTTGCAGTGCCCGAGGTATGTTGATCTCGACATTGGCGTCCTCGACCGCACTCCGCACCTGACGCCTGGCAGGGTCTGATGGTGGATGGGTGTCGTTGTGACTTTGCTGCAAGGCCAGCACCAGGCCAGGCATAGGTTCGTATTTGCCTTGTGTAAAGAACTGCTCCACATATTCCATAAGCAGCTGCTCCAAGCCATTAAGTTCTTTATTCAATGTTGTGGAGTCCTCCTCCACTGCCGGCGCTTGACTATGTTCGCTTATTTTAGTAGCAGTCGGAAGAGCTGTTGACCGCTCCTGGGGTAACGATGCGGGCTCGACTGCACGAGCTATCGTTGATTTTGTCGACCTTTCTGTTGACTTTGGCTGCATTGGCTCCGCAGTGCCGTTGTAGTCTTTTCGCTTCATGGCAACGGCCAGGCGCAGATCGCTCTCGGTTTCGACGGGCTGAAAGACGCGATATTGCCCGGCTTTGGTGAAAACATTGCGCGATATGAACTCAGGACTTATGTCTTTGGGCATCATGGGTCGAAATGTGTTGTCATCGTTGTGAGCGGCGCCGGCCAGGTTCGTCAGAGGTTGGCTGTAACCACGGCTAGACGATATTGCTGTGGCCAGCCAGAGTTGACACAACAAGAGGCTGCAGAACAGCGTCCACTGCCGTGCACTGCATCTTTGCTTTCTGTGCGTGTTTGTTTTTAATTTTGGCTGCCTTCTCCTCCCCCTCCTGCTGCTGCTCTCAGCGCTGTTTTCTTTACTTAACATATTCATTATACGCCTTGTTGTCGTTGTTTACGTTTACGTTTAAGCTGTTCTTGTTATCCTTCTTATTTGTTATTTTGTTTTTATGTTGGTGTTGTTGCTGTTGTTTACACTGTCACTGTCACTGCCAGGGTCTATCTCATTGGTTGTTTTACTGCAACTGCTGTTGCATGCTACACGTGGAATATTTAAATGGGTTGCCCTTGCTTGCTCGCCAGTCTTCAGCAATTTCATTGGAATTCGTGCGCTGTAATTAAAAATTATAGCGTTAAGAGCATTTTGCTGTAATTGTTGTTGTTGGTTTCGTTATTCTTATGGTTGTGGAACTTGCAATTACCCAACAACACCCCCTGCTATCCACTCCATAAATAATTTTATGGCACGTGACAAGCAACCAAAATGCGCCGTCACAGTCAATAAAATGAATCAAGAGCATTTTTCTCTGCGGTCGCAGCCAAAGGGCCCGACCTTGGTGTCTGGCGCCACGCCCCCAAACCGGCCAGAGCATTGTCTGCTGCGCTGATAATTGGCCCGAAATGTTCGGAGAGCATTTAGACCTGCAACCTGCTAATCAAGTTGTCTATTACGAATGAAGTTAGCGCCGTTATTGCTTACCATCAGATTGGTGTCTGCAGATACAAATCATGCCGACTCTAGCATTTTGTCAACATGACGCGTGCTCCTGCCTAACGCCCCAGCACTGAGCGATAAGTAAACAATGCACGTCGCACTTTTTATTTATCTTTTCGGTACCAGCGGCGTCGGATTTTGACACGCCATCCACGGCCAACAGTTAAATAGACGAGCGACGAGCGGGCAGGCGCTTTGAGAAAAAAGTGAAAATGCAAACAGTTTGTTTTTGTTTACACGCCAGGCATTTCAGCTCGAGTTGGCGGTTTGAGAGTTGCGGGTGGGGGCGGTTGTAACCGCCAGATCACGTTATTTTCTTGTTGCATTTTCACTTTCGCTTTTTTAGCGGCATTTGAAAAACGCTCTACGCGCATAAACACAAATAATGACAGCAAAGAGTCTCTTAAATGTATTACAGAACGAAGTTACATTCGTTTGTTCTCCGTTGCATGACAACAAGTTAACGAAAATAAACACAAAGCGCTTTCGTCCAAGACTGCACAAAGAATTTTACGCACGAATTGCTGTGCAGTCGTTGGCTTCACCAACACGCTTCCATTACCAAGCTACGCCTTTGCGTACATTTTCCAGAACAATTTCCTCCGCATGTTAATTAATGGGAAATTATATACTTTAAAAGAGTTCGGTATAAGTGCCAAGTTGAAATATTCGCAAAATTCCATTTGCAGCTCCAATTAATTTTGTTTGCTCACCGAAGGTATTAAATGGTAATACCATTTAATTTCAGTCTGTCAGAAATACTTTAAAACCAAATCGGCTCGTGGAAAGTTGATGCTATTGATTGCTTTCGACCCATTGATGTGGGTTGTTGCAAGATGGTCAGATGCCCGTCCCTAGAAATACTACCCACTACCAAGATAAGTGAGCCTGAATAACGTGCAGTATTTAAACTTTGTCCGAAGGTTCTCTCTTTCGCTCTCTTTTGCGACGCAACTATTCATGGTGAGAATATATTTATTAAGCCAAATTCCCAGTGCAGCAGCGTTAATGCACATCGATGGCATCTACCAGGATTACAAGCGGAAGTCTATTCTGCAACTTGTGCTCCCATCCATCCGTCGACAGCTCACAACATAACAGCATAAGCGGCATAACGTCAATCAACTTTTCCAAGCAGAGTTTGCAAGAGTTTCATAGAAGCTGCAACGGCATACCATGGTTGGCAGACGTCTTTAGTTGTTGAGAATAGTTTGAACATCTTTTCTGTACTTTACCAGCACTGAGTAAAAATTTTCCGAAGTTTTAAAATGAACTTGTTTCCTGCCGCTACAAATTAAATGTGGACCAAAGAAATAAACGAACACAAAGTCTCAAGACTAACGTGGCCCACCCGTAAAAGGGCTATGACCGTACACCGGCTTGTAGGAGCTGTCATGATGAGGAGGAAAAGAAAGCGGTGACCAACCTCTTCTGCGACTTCCCTGCCCTACCTAGAACTAGACACCGCATTCTAGGAGCCATTTTTCCTCCCAAATCTGTAAGCGTTGTTCACAAAGAAGCCCAATGACAAATGTTTTTAACGATTAAATATGTATATTAATCGTATCTAAAAACTATGCCAGTCTTATGGCCAAAGCTCTGAATTTATTCGGAAATCCAAAACCTTAACTTCCCCTAAATGAGATGCTGACTACGCACATGTCTTCGACTAATGTAGGATGTACGAGTGATTAGAACTAAAAGCCATAAAATCGTTTTAATAAAACATCCACCACCAATCACATCGAATTTTTGCCTTTTTGAGCGCAATTTATGTAAACAGTTATCTAACTTGGTTAACTTATTCCGGAAATGCACTTGAATTCGGAGAAGCAGAGAGTGCCTCTTCTTGTTAGTCGGTAGTTTTTATTATACAAGTATACTTGTAACGTGTTTAAAGTTGTTTTGGTTTTCCCCGACCTTCATTAACGAGCGATGCTCAGCCCACTCGATGTTTGGATTCCTCATTTATCATTGAAAATTCCCACGTTGCAACTGCCGCGACTTACTGCCCCACTGCCCCACTGCCACCCTGCCCCCTCTGCTAAAAGCCAAAACCCGCAGCTTGTCAAAACATTTTTGGGAAACACGTCGGCATCGTATATGTGTGTGTGTGTGTGTCTCTCTCTCTCTCTGTGTGTGTGTACGTGTGTGTATAGTTTTGCAACTTTGTTCTCTCCACTCACGCAGTTATCGCACTCTTGGCATTGTGTTTTTATATGCCTTTGGCTGCTGGCCCTGTTGCGGAGTTGCGGTTCTGTGGCCCATGATTGCGCTTGCATGCAAATGAGCCTTTGTAATTAGAACTCGAAATTTCTGTAGTTAGTAGCTTATCGCACTCTCCTCATCTGTGGCTACCATTTACAAGCACTTGCCACTAACGTTCTGCTGTGCATATCGAGCTGGTTAGTTGCAACTTTTTAATTTGTGCTTGGAGGCCTTCATGCTCTGGAAAACTTTGCTAGCTGCTTGGTTGTTGTTGCAGCAGTGCTTAATTCATTTAGTTGTTGTAGTTAGACTTTTACTGCCTGCCATGACGCTTGCTGCTGTATGGCATCTTAGTTATATTTAGGCAAATGCGAGTTGATGTGTGTGTGTGTGGATATGCAAGCCCGCCCATCTGAAACGAAGTTTTCTCAATTAAGTCACAAAAACTTTTCCACATTCTGACAGCACGCACACAAATCCACATACTCATATTCATAATACAAATTGATGGAATTGGAGCAGAGCTCCCGCGAGTCATAAAAAAGCATGGCAATAGCATCGCCATTAGCATTATATAAAAGTACAAAGCGCTGACTACAGTCTAATAAGTCGACGACTGTCAGCATTTGCGACACGTTCGTGACAAACTACAAAAGTTAGACAGTCGCTTAGACAATGCGGCAAGGCACAACCAGTTTCCAGTTTTGGAACCAACTTGATAAACGGCGTTAAGTGCGCGCCAGTTAACGGTCAAATCCATAAACTAGCCTTACGAGCTGCATCCATAACTGTGGACAATGTGACATAACTGTTTTCAGTAGTTTTCCCCTGCCATCGCCCGTCGTTTAGAACAAGTTGCGGACAGTCGAGCCACTGACCGACCGCACGGGCCAAAGCTAGAGAGAATTATCTTCGCTTCACTCACACCAGTGGACACACATATTTGAACAGATCTGTGAGAGATCTGAGCTCAAATAGTGCTTTAGTGTTGTGGAAGTTTTCCACTCGTCTGCCATTTCTGAAACTTTCTGCAAATATAAAATGATGTCGCTTTGTTTCCTATTACATTTTTCTGAATTGAAATTAATAAGACTTGATAAACACCAAAGTATCCACAGATGATTGTTTCACAGGACAGAACAGTGAAAAGAGGAAAATGACTATAGTTGGGATGTCAGCTCTCTTTCTATAGATATTTATGGTTCATATTCTGCAGAACATCTTCAAACAACTTTTTAATTTATAAATCTCTCTAATTACGGGTACTTGTGACTCCAACAAGTGAATGGTAACAATTTTGAAAGTAAAATGTTAGATGCGTGCTCAGATAATCGAGACAGTTTGAAGCTTTTTGCTGTTCGACCTCGTTCCAATTCAGCGAAATCAAAAATCTTTTTTGTTCTCTATTTTCAAACTCACTTATACAAAGACTATGTAAACATTGCTTCCTGTCTTACCAAAAGTTTATAACTTACTTTGGCAAAAGGTATTATTTCTTTGTTTATATCAAAATAGATATGCACACAAACATTTTGCTAGACTTTTATGTATATGATTTGCAATTAAAAGGGATAGGAGATTTATACACTGGAGCTGTCCTACTGCAGTCCTGTTTCAATTTCAATATTTTATGCATGCATAAATGAAAAATAATCTTAAGCTAAATTAAATAAATCTTGACTTCTAGAGCCATTCAAGAGAAAACATGGAGCTTTTTTAAGTAATAATTTGATAAATTTTTTATTCCTGGACTTTTTTTCTTTTAACATTATTGCTATTGTTATAGTATTGGTGACTTAAGAGAACGCTCTTCTAAATTCTAAATTTCTCTTGTTTGTGTATACCATTTACTCATTTATTGAGCTCCATCAAAATCTTTGTCGTTAGCTTCAGAACAGTTAGGAGTTTCCGTTGCACACATTTATTTGTTTGTCAACATAGTGCTTCGATTATTTACATACAGTTATTATATTAACAAAGATAGATGATGGGTATAAATACATTTAATTGTACATAACAAGACACAATGAGGTAAGTAGTTCTAAGTCAAACGCTTTTCGGAAATATATGTTGTTCTTAAACCGCATAACGACCTGATAGGGAATATTTTCAGTGGATAAGCACATCCACCTATACCTAAACGAACACACGATAACTATAACCACATCTAGCTTAATTAAACAAATGTAAGCTTAAATAAATATATATGTATGGTTAAAATAGTTAAACTTTAGATACATCGGAACCGAAGCTCTTATTGTTTTATTTTCAAAATTGTAATTCTTTAATTGAGGCACTGCATGCAGACAGCTTTTAAAACTCAATAAATTTGCATTTAGTTACACATTATATGATAGCATGTTAAATTTTAAAACATTAATCAAACAAATGGGAATGTGAGTCGCACTATCGTTTCATACTATCATCACGTATCGGATATTTATTAAAGTACACGTAGGTATGAAGGCTGAATAGTGTTTGGCTTCAATTTCCTTTTTCCTCTGAACCAACAGTCTAACAACAGGTATTTTATGTTTGTCCAAATACATTTGCTGTCAATTTTCTGTCAGCCACTTTATTGCTGTTTCGTGGCGAAATGCTCGTTTAGTGAAATGTTTTGATTTTTGCCAATTAGCTACAAATTGGGTATTAACATTTCGGCTTCTGGCAACCATTAGGGTGCTGGAATTGTTTTAGGGAGGGTGTTCTGCTGCCACACCCACTAAAATCAAGTGATTTATATGCAAGTTGAACTCTTACCCATGTGAGGCTTCGATCGTTATGTCTTAACTTGTTTATAGAAAGTTTTCGTTCGTGTCGACATTCAAGTGATTATATTTAATTCGCTCGCTTGCTAATTTTTAACGAATTATGCAACGCATGTAATTGCAATGCAACACTCTTGTCTCAAATGATATTTGGCTGGCAAACATACTATTCAGTGAGCAATTTAAATTGGATTTGGAAAGCACTTCTCAAAATGTCACGCCTTGCCAGCCAATTCAATTGCATGGCTAAAGAGCGTGAAACATTTGCCTCCACATAAATACTTGCGTACTATACTACAAGTATGTTTTCTCGTACATGTATGTATGTATGCTTGGGGGCGTTTGCGCGACATTGACAAAACATCGTCGCATATACTGTACAAGTAAGTCGACAAGCAACAGGAACAACATTTGACATGAAGTGGCAGCTGAAGGGTGCTGCCCTGAGATTCTGTAACTGCTGCAGGCGAATGCAGACAAGAGCGCAATAATTTGTCATTTGGCAGTAAGTCCTGGTTTGTTGGCAACACTATTAACACTATTCTTTTTCCAACCACAAATCTTTTTATTAATGGTTTTTCGTTTTATTATGTTCTAAAGAATTGTCGCGAGATGGGTTATGAAAACCAAGACCATTTGTCAATTTCAGCTCGGAAATTATGTATAGCACTTAATTTGACCAACAGCATTACAACTGATCCAAATTTTGAAAAAGAATTAGGCTCTTGAATTTTTAATTTAAACGGATAAAGTCTGATATTTCACAATAATATTCTTCCAAGTCTGCCTAAAAGCTTCGCTTAACATGGATTATGAATTCATTAAGGTTGTTTTGTGAGTCGCTTTCGCTTAGCTTTTAAGCTCGATAACAAAAGGTTTTAGAGGTAATATGTTTTAAAGAGTTGTTTGCTAATTCGCCATGAGAGCATTTCTTTAAATGGGACCAAGTCATGCCAGGCCAACTCTTGTTTTCACTGAACCCTCTTCTCTCTCCCCCACAGTCCTTCAACAAAACTTTGTTGCACGAATCGTTTTTATGGCATCTACATATGTATACTCGTAGTGCACAGATTGTGATAAAGCTTCAGAAAATGGGGAGGCCCCATTTAAAAACAATATACAAGTAAGTACCTTATGTAATTAGGATATTGTCGAAAACAGATGGATGGATGGATACGTACATATCTATGCCGATTTGTCTCATCATGCTGATCATCAATACCCCTACAGTTTGACACTACAGTTTATTTAACGCTTAGACTTGCTAGCATACCCTTACACTGTTCGCATAAAGGGTAGAAAAATAAGTAATTTTCACCAATGCCAACCACTTTCAAACGAAAGAATGATTTTCCATTAGTCCGCATGAGAATTATTCGTTTTGTAAAATTGTGCACTTCTGGCTCATCATTTATTTTCCGGAGCATACTTCTTGGCTTAAGATTCTTGCCTATTGACATTTTATTTGAAATATGAGTGCATTTGTGATTACAAACAAATTGAATTTTCCGTGGAAATGCAATTTTAATGGCTTCACTGTACAAGTACGTGCTTGTCAGTCAGGTTGCACTTCCATTTCTCTTTGCACTCTTCCTGTAGCCTGCTTCTGTCTGTCTGCCTGTCTGCGAATGGCGCTTCGGCGCTTTGCTCCAAATGGCTGTAGTCGTTGGTGTTAAGAAAGTTGCCTGGCCATGAAACGAGTTAAAGATGCTGCTGAAAATCTGCAAAAGCTGCGTCTCAAAATGAAAGTGCGAGTTGCTAGCTAGGTGTCAGTATGTGTGTGTGAGGAAGCATTTTAAATATAGTACAAAACATGAACCGACTATACATTTCACTGTGGCAATTGAACCGCCGCAAGCATCTCACCACTAACCACATTTTTATGGTTGACTACAATTCCAGGCGACTAACCAAGCCTTAAGTTGCAATTACAATTTGGTAATCAAAAGCCCGTAAAGTGTTGGGCGTCGTCTCGCAGTACACTCAGCGAAAATAGTGTTGAAGCCAAATTTATCTCATTAATATGTAGTTACCTTAATTAAGCGACACAGAAATATTTTAGCGTACTCAGATTGAGGCACAAACTGTCATAGTACTTAATATTTCTCTATATTTAATTTCTAATTTATTTAGTGCAAAAATAAATACTCGATCTAGGCAGATAACAAGGGGATGCTTACTAGCCGGAAAAAACGAGTCGGCTGCCCAACAATTTAGTACAATCCTAAGGTTTCTTTAGGCATACAAATTGATTTGAAAAGTATATCCCAATATTATCGAATCTCTTGCTTTGAACATGTTATGCAATTTCTTCAGCTGCATAATTAATTCAGCTGTTTTTTTCTGTGTGTATGTAAGATAGCGGCTTTCCAGGTGACAACTGAGTAACCATAGTATCGTTGTCATGTTTTTGCAGTCGATTGGCTGCAACAGCCTGCCTTTAGGCTTCCACTTCCACTTTTGAAAACCCCACGCATGACGCATTTCGAATTACTTCGGCTGTTGTTCATGTTGTGGTTGTTGTTATTGTTGTTGTTGTTATTGCTGTTGCTGTTGCACATGAAACGAATTTCTACCAAAAAGAAAGTGTCATAAAAGTTGGCGGGCCGCAAACGAGCCAAAACCATAGCGTCTGAGGTCTGTTGTGTCGCACAAATCGATTGGCTGGCTGGCTGGCTGGCTGGCTGCCTGCCTGCTTGAGCAACGCTCTGAGCTTATTTTTATAGCTGCTCGGCTTTATTTCCATTTACATTGAGGTAGGACGCCAAACACATATGTATGTATGCATTTATAAAGATGTACATCAGTATGTATAATATGTGTTTGTACTTCTTACGTAACAGCGCATCTTTAGCATTTAATTATAACGTTTGCTATTAAAGACCTCAGCATGCGGTGCGGCTAACGTGTCGACAGAGAAAATTTAACAATTGCTGTTTGCTATCGTGTTGTCTATTATGTGTATGTTGTTGTAGCTATTATTATTGTTGTCGTTGTTGTTGTTGTTATTGTTACTGCCATTTGGCAGCATTCGAGCTTACCCTTCACTCGCAGCGTTCGTTTAAAAGCGAGCTGGCGAAAGAAAATGGTCGCTTTAATGGTCGCTGACTGAATCAAAGCACGAAAATGCACCGCCACCACCACTCGTCGGGTAATTCAATGATAAATGATTAATGTCTGCTGTATAAACAATCGAATTTACCTTAAATAATGCACAGCACTCAGCGGACTTTGGTAATTATTGATTGATTTTTGCACATTCAAATTGAACGCTTTTGTATACAAATTAAAAGAATTTGCCGTTGCTGGCTATTTTCATTCCGCGAAATTGCAGCGACACTCTTTTTCTCTCTTCGTTTTATTTGGCAAGTGAAAAGCGGACCAAACCACTTCAACTGACACACTGGCAATGCAATTTGTTGCGTTTCGTTTTCACTGCACGGCTATTATAATTGACCAGAAGATAATACTCGTATCTGCACCAATTGTTGTTGCCGCATAATTACGCAGAGTCATTCGAGCTGGCCTTGCACATGGCATTCAGCATGAACGATGGACCACAATTTTCGACAAACGACGTTTATTTGGGTTTTTTGATTGTTGTTGTTTCTTCTTGTTTTTTGTTTTTGTGTTTTTTTTTTTTGTTTCGTTCACTTTCGACTAAAAAACTTCCCGGCGTTTCCGTTATTGCGTCTGAAGCGGAGCTCGCAAACTTTTCAACTGTTGCGGGCGAAAGCCAGCAGCAACTGAGGCTTAAGTCGCAGCCGAGTTGAGCAAACTAAAGAGTTGCCGTCGCCGTCACGATCAACCAGTTTTAACGTCACGACGTAAGACACTACGCTGCTCTCACGTCGCAGAGAGTTGAGTCGCCAAGAGTTTAAGAGCGTGACATTGCCGCTCGATACAGTGAAGTGAGTGACAAAGTCGTTGACAACTTTGGTGGCGACAGTAGCTACAACAACACCAGCAACAACAGGAGCATTGCTGGCACGGCAGTTTCTCTTTTCAGCGCAAATTTGCTTATGCGGAAAATTGGACGTTAATGAAAACCGTTGCGCTGCCATCCCAGCATGTCTTCTTGATACAAAAAAAAAAGACAAATTAACAATGAAGGAAAAATGTATAACTTGGTCTGGGCACAGATCTGCTTGTCAATTTTTGTTGAGTAAACTTTCAGCGTCGGCGCCAACTGAAGTGCAAAATGATTTTATGAAAAATGTTAAATTGTGCCTCATCATGGCGAACAAAAAGTTAGTGTTGCCTCTGCATATTAGAAGGAAATGAAATGATGCTTAGTCAGTCAGTCAGACTGCCGATTGTTTGTCTATTTAATCACAGTCAAATGAATTGTATGAATTGCTGCTTCATAGACAAGTCTTTTTATGCGCATATTCTTACGAATATTTAATTCAAGTCTGAAATTTCGCTTAGTACTTACTAGCCAGAGTCCTTGGCAGGTGGATGAGATGATGGCGAGCAGCAATACTCGTATGCCATATCTATTATGATGATTCATGGTTATTCATTTTATTTTCTTGCTCGGAAATTGCTTCGATTGGCTGCCTCCTTGAGGGCCTAAATGTAAATGATTGCCAAGATTACGTGCCTGCACGTTTTTATAGCCCCTAGACACAAAAAGATAAGCTAACATGACATTGCAGAGATAGACAACTTATCTTGATGAAGTTAACTGTGATTTTATCGTAGCTTTATAGTCTTAGGATGGCTCTCCGATAAGTGGAAGAAATGTTATTTTTTTACAATATTATAATTGTCTATAAATATAATTCATAATGTTTCTTGCAGAATTAAAGGTTTTTTTAAATATTCTATGATATGTTGATATGATACTAATAATATGATATTATATTATATGATATGATTAAACAAAGGAATGTGACCGAGTAACTGAGCTCACACTTTCGTCCAATTCAGCCCATGGTGCAGCATTAACAGATTAGCAAACTTTCGATTTTTCGGTTAGTTTACATGCTCACCGCTAATGGCGAATTTGGTTCTGGAGCAAACTTTCAGTTTCTCTGCAACTTTTGTTGCTTGCGGCTTCCAGCTTGTTGCGCTTTAAGTTTCGAAGGCAAGGCAAAGCTGGTCCACTCTGTCTTTTTGTCTTCAAGTGGTAAGCGAGACTGGCCTAATTATAAAGCGGCCACTTGTGCATACATAAAAGTTTAAACTACAAGTTTTACTTGCAGTTTGCATTCAACAATACAATATATGCACTTATATCTCCGGTTTTCAGTTTGGCCAGCAATGCTTTAAAGTATCTGTAAACTAAACATGCTTTATTTTTTATGTGCATATTTAAAATACAACTAAGTCCTCCAAAAGCCGCACATGTTGGCAACAATGTGATGTTGTTGGCGCTTGCAGAATTTAATGTGCAGCACACGTTTTACTTTTACTGGACAAATAACATTTGTTGCTATAAATATTTAAGAGCAATGGTTTTATATTACTTTTCCGCCGGGCAACAAAAAATAGTCGCAACACTATTGAGAGCAACTGGTGATGCTTTTCACTTCCTTGGCTTACAGTTTGATTTATGTGTGATGTGGGAATGTTTGAACGTGTTTTAGATTTACGAGCAGAGTCCAACTTGCGACTTTCTCATGAAAGTCAGCGCCTAGAATTGGCCAACTAAGCGCGCCATTATTGTCATTGTTGTTCAGTTTCTTGTGACAAAAACTGCGCACTCCTAATGAATAGAGCGCGCCCATTGATTTGTGGCCAGCAGGTAGAAACGAAAACAATTCACCGATTTACCGAGTCATAGTCAATGCGGTCTCCGCACATGACCACAATACCTTAAAAATCAAAAACCAAAACGAAAGCCAAAGTCACTCATCAGGCGGTTAATGAGACCGCAAAACCAATAACTGCCTTTTTACAATTCGCAAACAGCCAACAATTGCCGCTCTATGGACACTATTCAGCTTGTCCAGCTGTCCAGCTGTCTATACAAAAATAGACAGTGCTGTCCCCGATTGAGGGCAGTGGGTGGCACCAACAACTGACTGGCATTCTTTGCCATATTGCATTGAAATCGAAATGTTTTTATTTGATGTATCTGCGCTCATATTTATTTCAGAGTACATGTGAATGGGTACACTCAGAAAAGCGAGAAATAATTGTCTTAATAATTGGCTTACTTAATAGGAATGCCTTTCTGGTAAATGTTTTAAAGTAAAAAAAAAAAAACGACTATGATAATTTTAATATAGTAATTTTACAAACAATTGAGCAGAGGCTTCGGCGATACTTGTTCACACTCTGACTCGCAACCAACTTCTTCTACGACGCGTATCGCCCGATTATCGTGTGTATTGTAATTTAAATATAAGTGATGACATGCCAGCACCAGGGCTGCCTGTAAAGTATACAGCTGTTGCCCAATTACCTACATCCTACATGTCTTGCAATGGTATATATAATTTATATAAATATATACAGATTTTTGTAATAGAGCGCTCAAAGCAAAAATGTAACTGTTTCTGAAAAACTTTAAAGCAAAAAATTTAGTAATCAACGCATACAGGATGGTCTAATTCAAACATCGTTTGAGGTACTATCTATCAGAAGCATAAACAGTTAAATTTTGCGAATTTCAGGATCTCTTCCTTGTAGGTACACCTGCGCCTGTAGGACCAAAAACAATGGTAGAAGTGTGATTGCAACTGCAGCCAGAACACAAGGATATATTAAAAGAGGCTCCATAAATGAAACACGAAATTGCTTTTCACAAATTGGCTTCTGGACAAAGAAGTAGGCGGTAGGAAATCGACTCAACCGAGCAATAATTTTGCCCACGAAATATGTCACTACATAGCCCGAATGTTAGCGACACGTTTGCCGAAATAAATAAATATCGCAATAATATCAGTAATTTACAAACGAAATTGAAAGGACATCAGTATGTGGTCAAATCTTCGCTTGATGTCCTTTCCCTGTTCTAACATTTGTTGCGTTTATTAGTTTTAGGATATTAAGTGTTTTATTTGTTGAACAGTTTTGACCTCTATCATATTTTTGTAGTATGGGCGTCCAGGTACCTACACCTATGTACTAAGCATTAAAACCCCTTAGAAACAAGCACTGCAAATAATGACTATTTTGTTATTTTGTAAACGAAAAAATCATTCACTTATATTAACTTTTAATAAATTTTTTAATAATATAAGTATATTGATTTCAGTCCCTGCTTAGAAACATTATTTATATCCTTAAAAAGATAAGTAGGCGACAACATATTTTTATGACTTTTCAGCAGATTTCTATTGAATTCTATCGTGTAGAACAGTTGCTTATACCAGTTGTTGATTAAGCCTCAATTAAGTCCTTGTTGTCTTAATTGCGCTAGGAACAAACATTTTCCTTGATTTCATTGATTTTTGTCGGTTTGATGTTTCAGCTGAAAAGATTGTGTTGATAAATGAATTAAGGTAGCTGGAGAGTAACTAACAAAATAGCATATAATTTTTTAGTAGCTGTCCAATGATTTTATTTCGCGCAAAATTACTAAAATTTATACTAACTTTTTTATAGTGTACACATAGAGGGAGAGAGAGAGAGAGAGACATCGGCAAGCCGAAATACAATATTTGTGTGCTGGTGATGCGGCAATATTGGTCACCCTTTTTGGAGGCACAATGTGAAAGTGGCAACAACTTATTTAGCGTAGATTTGGCATAAACCAAAAACAACATTCATCTTTACAAGTAGACAAAATAAACACAAGCGTTGTCGAAGACTTTATTTTAAAAGCCGATCATTTGTGACTGACGTCTGCACAAATGTGACAAATTCGCCCATTTAAGCGGCACTTTTTATGGCTCGTATCTTCTCTTGTAAATCTTTGGAGGCTGGAAGTGCTTTGACAAGCCAGCCAGCCAGCTACATTTTGATGTATGAGTTAAAGTCCCCCACCGCATGCCACGTGCACGCATATCTATGTATGCATATGTATATATGTATATGTGAGGCTATAAAGGAAACCATTTGGTATGCATCACAAGTTCCCGCCCAAAGACGCAAGTCACGTCAAGCGCCAAATCGCAAATATTCTGCATACACTCTTATGTTGGTTCGGTATTGTCAATATTTGCGAACCTTTTCCTTCGCTTTTTACTTCTTCACATACATTTGTTCGTTGGCTTTGTCGTATTTTTTATTTTTATCATTAATTTCACTTTTACTCATAAATATGCTAATAATGTGCTCACGCTTGACTCGTCCGAGCTCAGAGCGGACCGCTGTTTGTCAGATTTCATTTTCATAACAAAACTTTGTTTGTTTGCATCGATTATGATGATTAACACTTCGGGCCAGTCAGTTAGCCAGCCAGCCAGCCAGTCAGTCAGTCAGTCTGTCAGTCAGCTAGCCATTCAGGCGGTCAATCTTGCCGTTGTTCAGTGAAGTATTCATTCAGCGAAGCAGCTGGTCAACAATTTTAGAATAAGCCGTGGCGTTGCTATGGCCGTGTTATCGTCTTGGGTTACGCAATTTTGTTTAGGAAGAAAGTTAAATAACATTTGGCTTTCATTAAGTGCGTGCCAAAATTGATGAAGACACAGATACGCCAATTGGCTTGCGCTGTGGAACGCAAAAGAGCTGCTAAGCGTAAAATGGACTTCAAACTAAGCCTGTTGCCAGAGGCTTATGGCAAATTATAGCAGCTGAGGTCAGATATAATCTCCGAAGCGGCCAGGGCATCTCACTGGAAGCTTTTGGAAGCAGCGTACGTCGTAGCTCATTGTTTGCTCCCAACTCGGCTCAACTCAAAAATATCGTTAGTGACATCACTTGCTCTACCATGGGGACACGCCCCAGTCTCGGCACTTTCACATGCCAAAGTGCGTTAAAGCGTTACAAACGCACTTTGTCAAAACTAGCCAACAACTATCGTCAACTGCGAAACAAATAAAAGCCCAGTGTGGACCAAGTTGACAGCAGCAGCAGCAGCAGCAGAAATAAAGACAACAAACATGTGGTCGAGAGCACAGCGCATTTAACTTTCAACCTTATAGAAATTTTTAATTAATTTTTCATGTTGGCGTGTGGGAACTTTTCACTTTTCAAACAATTTTTATTTTATTACTATTTTCTTTGGGTGGGTGACAGGCAATGGCCGATGTGTGATGATAAGTCATCAAAAGTCACTCGCGACCGCACATTTCTGGCGACACATGCGAGTGATGGTCGTCTGTGGAGCTGCTGGTCCACTGCTCTTTGTGTGGTTTAATTTTCTGGTTTCGTTCTATGGTTGCATGAAGAGCTTAATTATTAAGCACTCGTCGTGTGGATGGACAGGCCACATGGAGCCGTAATTGAAACGCAATCATATCTTAATTGAACCATGTGTGGTCAGCCGATTTCCATTTAGGCAGGCGCTGGCTCATTAAGTTGAGTAATGGACGCAATCCCACGCACAGCAGATGTGGACTGGTTGACTGGTTGACAACCTGTTCCTGCTGCTTTACATGATTTCACACATGTCGTCCAACGACGTTGATTGATTGAGTCGCAAAGTAAGACTATCAATAAGTTTATAACGCCCAATGCGTTCGCTCCCTAACCATCAGCAGCCGCCATCAACAGTTTTATGAAGCGCAGGACCCATGCCATGCACTCAGAGAAGAAATACGGACACGGGATGTACTTGTAAGATAAATTATATTAAATACTCGTAAATATAAGATAATAAGAACGATTTTATTGTGTCCTCGAATGACATGGACAGCCCATTCTTTATCGCTCCCAAAGAGCTGCTATAAAGCGGTCCATGTCAAAGGTACTCGGCTAAATCGAGGCTAGCTACATTAGTCAGTTAGTTAGTTAAGAGAGCAACAAAAACATAAAACATAGCTCCAGCGAAGATTGATTTTCTGCTGGTCTTCCAGTTTATTGTTTGAGTTTAGTTTTTGGTTACTTGTGCTCCACTATTTTTTGCAGAGAAGCGCGGCTTGAACCAATTGGAAGAATGTTAATTCAATAAACATTTAAGTGAAAACCCGATTTTGTTTTGCTTTTTTAAGCTCCAATGCTTTTGTCATTCCAATGCCTAGTGAAAGTCCAGCTTTTTATTTTATTTATACTGCTGTATTATATTGTTGAAGCGGCGAAAAAATATTGTAGGCCCTTCAGAGCACTCTTTGAATCCCATAACGACTTGTTTATGGTACTGTGGAAAACTTCAGTATTCTCAGGCGAAAATCCTTCATAATTATTAACACAAATAATTCCCACTCTAGGGAAAAAAATATTAGAGTAGTAGTTTTATTTTTTTTTTTAAATTAATCTCGACGAATCTAAGTAACTGCTTTTTGTGTTTATTGATGAAGTTTTTAAATAATTTATTATTACATTTGCAATCTTTTTTAGCTCTTCATAAGATAAGCCTGTGTATATGTTTACCTTTGCGTGCAGGCTATTGTGGGTGCTAAATGATGATTTAGAATAAATCGTTCGTTTCCCTTAAAGGTTTGATCATTTTTGAATTCGCTCTAAAAGAATATCCTACATTCTGCGCCTCGTATTTCATGATGCATTCCTTTTTCGTTCCGTGCACGGAGTCTGAGTTCATTAAATCGTTTGCCTGTGCATTTCCGCGGCTTGTGTTGACTTTTGCTCTCGTGTTTTCAACGTCATCGACATCGTCGACATCGTTACCAAGCTCTGATGGGTCCCAGACCCGTGTAGGTACATAGGGGCCGCATAATCAGAGAGTGCTCACATTTACGCCATTTTTATGGGCCATATCTTTTTACGTTATGTTTTGCGGGCACTGCTTCTTGACTCTTCACACAATTACAAACCGAAACGACCGGATTTTGCTTACCGTCGGCTCTGTTGCTCCGTTAATGTTTGAGGAAGTATTGTAAAGTATGTGTGCGAGTACGCATGAAAAGGGAAACATGCTATAAAAGTGGCAAAGGTCAAGTGCTGATGGGTCAGCTGTTTGGGACTCTGTGAATCACTTCAATGGGCTCTCAAGCCCCCACTTACCTTTTCGGCTGAAATGCAGACGCAGCTCATTTTTCAAAATAAACATAAAAGCTGTGAGTGTGTGTGTGTACTTTTGTCATATTTTATTGAAGTTTATTTCATTTCGCTTCGCTGCCTCAATGCATACCACATTGTAAGCAGTAATCGTATAGACGGCCATTATATGTATTTAAATATGTATGTATTTCTTTAATTAGGTATGTGTAGGACACTCGTCAAGCGCACTCGTGCTCAATTAAGAATGGCAACAGTTTATCATAATAAATAAATGAGAGAGCTGTCTGGCTGACTGCTTGGATCCGCCATTAGCATTTATATTTACGCATATTTACAATTACATTTATTCTGTTTGTGTTTTTAACAATGTTAAGCCTATTAATTAATGGGAGCTGTAATGCAGGATACTCTGCATTTTCCATCATGACAATAAATTACAAATTACTCGCATATGTACATACCTTAACGAAAGATAACGTTGTCAATATTAATCGTATGAAAGATTGTGCTTAAATGGTAGGAACTAGGCTTTAAAGTAAACTCAAGAGCTGCTATCAATTACCCAAATTTAATTGAAGGGCTCGTTCAATTAAATTACAGTATTCGATATGAGAAGCAAATGTATTCGTAGAGCAGATAGAGATAAACACACAAATGCTGTTAGTTACTTAATTAGTGGATAAATATAATTAGCTTAACTACAACAGATTGAAATCTATAACTATCTATGTACACGTAAGCATCCCAATTAAAATACGCCTCAACGTCATCTCCATCTCCATCTCCATTTCCATATCCATCGCCGTCGTTGTTTGTTGTTTTGGTAAATTGGTGTGCCTCCCGAAACTTAAAGGTAACTCAGCTTAGCTTTGAATCACTTGTACTCGTAATTAGTTAGTCTAAACCTACATCCTCATCTATATTGTATACACATTTATCATTTTGTTGCAATTTCTGGTGTGCATCTCGTAAGAGTTTTATTTGCATTGTGGTCGATTCTGGATCGAGATGTGCCCCAATTTGTGGCCGGCCCACTGCTGGTGGCTGCTTAAAGCCACGTTCAGCTAACATTTGGCCTGATACGAAGTGAGAAAGAGAGGGGGAGAGAGAAAGAGAGATGGTGAGATAGTGAGATGGTGAGAGACGGTGCACGGGTGAGAGGCAGAATTAGAGAAATGAGTGCAAAAACGTCAGCAACTGTTGAAATATTTACATGCCAGCTACAGTTCCACAGAAACCGACGATTCTCCACTCGAAAATGCATTTACATATACTATGAGCATGTGCCAAGCTTTTCGCCATTTGTGGATGTCATGAAAATGCCGAAAAGCAAATAAATGCAAATATTGTGCAAAAGTATTTTATCAACCTGAAATGCATGCTGTTTTCTTGTCGAAATTTCTCAAACAGAGAGAGAGAGAGAGAGAAGGTTAAAGAGATAGCGTCAGAAGCATTAGTTAAGTACTTTGGCCGTGAAAAGTGCAAATCAAATCGAACTACTTCCTAAAAAATACAGTGCAATCGGTCTCGAACAGAAAGTACTAAGTGGAACAGAAGCACGACTTTATCCTAAGCCTTGGATTTGTTTTCGATTTCAAATGAATAATCGAATTGCCAAAAATAATTTGCTACCATGCTATGCATTAAGCATACGGAACAAGTCAAGGAATTTTTAATTGTTGCCCAATATGTTCTGAAGAAAGAAGTAAAACATGGTTCAATACATCTGCAAAAAAATTGCAACCTATAAAATTGAAATGTAGATTGGCTTAATGCTTTGGTATTCGAATGAAATAGTTGTGTTCAAGACAGGTTCGACACAATAATTATTCTAATTATTGCTTGAAAACAAAGCGTATGGTTATGCGTTTGTTTAGATTCATTTTTATTGTAAACTTCAATAAAATGTTTTTAATAGAAAGGCATTCTTTTCAAATTCTGAGAATTATTCGGGAATTCGGGATGAAGGTCTTTTGTTTTAAACAACAGAAAAGTATTTAAGTTGGAAAAGGAACCGCCTGCTGAACAGTTCTGCCACAATATGTTACTTTCTTGCTAATGAGACCGATACTTTAGGGTTTAAACTAGAATACGCACAAGAATGGGCTGAGCTCAGAGTCTAGTGAGGTTAGTTGATGTAAGTCAGGGTTAATTGAGGTTGCTTTACCGAGGCATAAGCGTTGTCATCTCCGAGGGCATGGGATTCTCCGTTAGGGCCACTGACTCGGTCACAGCACTGCGCAATCCATATATATTATGTCCCATGCTGCAGGCGGTTGTTGTATAATCTCCATCAACAATGTCGCCAATTCCACGACCGCCTCTGCAGGCTGCGTCCCCATCGCTACCGGCTGCACCACCGACAAAATCACCGCCGCCACCGCCAGCCACGCTGCCCAACAATCGCAGCTCGCCCTTGGAAATGTCGGCGCCCTGTTTGCGTCGTCGACGCGCCGCCGCCTGAACGCTGCTGCCTGTTGTGTGACCATTAAGAGCAACATTAGTGGGTTCTTTACAACGGCATAATAATTCTTGAAATTCTTTACGGAAGTTGTCATTCAGCCATCCATATAGCAGCGGATTGGAGCAAGCAGAGCTCATGCCTATCATGTGGCAAATGGCGTAGGCGACCAGCATGCCCTGAGTAACGACCGATCTTCGCATGTCCGCGTACAAATTGAAAAAGTTCAGAGGCAGCCACGAGACGCCAAAGATGATGGCAATGCTGATCAGCAGGCAGTTGGTGCGCTTCATGCGCCGCCCCCGCTCCACCTTGCGCTGCGTGGAGGCCTGCACGGTGACGACGGTGATGCGATTCTTCAGCTTGTTGTAGATACCAAAGTAGGCAACTGACACGATCAGGATGGGCACCAGATATTGCACGCACAGCGAGAAGATCGAGTAATAGAAGCGGCCATGGTTCAGCGGCCAGTCCTCGATGCAGAACGAGAGCGTGTCCTGGAAGCCAATGCGCTGCAGTAGCAGCGGGGTGTCGGTGTTCACCAGCCTCTTAAAGATGAACATGGGCGAGGCGAGCAGCAAGGCCAGCAACCAAATGCCTGCCAGGATCGTAACAGCACCCACGAACTGAAGACTATCCCGCGTTGGATACACAATGACCTAAAAGCCGGGGAATAAAAAGAGAAATAAGGGAGTTGGAATCATCATTACCATTATTATACACTTGACCCCATTTCTGATTGCTTTGCTTAATCTCAGCACTCGTTGGTTGCAAGATAAATTACACTTTTGGGGTTAAAACAGCTTATTTATTATCTCATACAGTTAAGTATTATGCTTAGTTAATTCAGCAAAAACGTTTCGAGAGCAAAGTATCCCAGATAGTAATGGAACTTTCTTTCTGCAAACAAAAACAATATTGCTAACCATATTAAATGCAGTAAAATAATTATCAGAAAGAGTACTCTCTCCCTATTCTCTAGTATTATTCAAAGTCATTCGATGAATAAATTACTCATCAAGATTATTATATTCTGCATAGAAAATGGTGTGTTGTGGTTTAAGAAAAATAGTGCACAACTGCGAATTATAGATAGACAATTGCATTGCCTGCCAACATTGATAATTCGTTTGGGCAGCTTTACGGCAACTGAACAGCTGCGTAATTGCGAAATAAATTCTCACCATCCCTGCCATCATTTTCATGTTAATTTCTCTCCGACGGGCTTTATCGCTGAAACACATCGGTATCGCTTACATTATTAACAACCGAACTTTGCATAACGCGTCCAATTATGTTTGCCTCATTTGTATGTTAATATGCCGAATGCCAAATGACCGGCACAAATTGAATAAGCATTGCTGGGCAACCAACGTGCATTCCACTCCCACTCCCACACCCACACCCACATCCAGACCCACACTTGACGTTGGTAATGACTACTAACCTGATATCTGTCGAACGCGATGGCTGTTATGGAAATCGTAGAAACGAATATGCTCAGGGCCTGCAGCATGGCAATCATTTTGCAAAGAATGGCGCACGAGCCGAATGGCCAAAATTTCGATAGAATTTCCATTAAAGTCAACGGCATTGTAACCAGGCATAACAGTAAATCTGTAAAGGCAACCAAGCACAAATTGCTTAAAATGTGGGTTAAATGGCGCATCCGCCGTCAGGCTGTTTATTCAGTACTCAGCAAATATCGTTCACTGTTTCAACTGAACAGACAGAGAGACAGGCAGACAGCTGGCTTATTACCTAAAGAGGATTATTTCACATCATTGATTTCCACCTAAACAGACAGTTTAAGTGAAAATCTGTTTAGCACTTTGCACAACATTTCATAATTTCCTTTTGAGAATTGAAAGTGGTTTTGAAAAGGCCACAGGTCAAGAATAATTACTATAAATAATACTCAAAGGAACAAAACAGAAATTAAACATTTAACTTATGTAATTATTAAGTAGTTAAGACTAAAAACGAAATAGAAGACAAAATATTTTATTTCAGATTTAAGCAATATTTAGAAGAAAATAATTGAATTAAATACTCTTAAGTACACACACACACACTCACCCGATATGGCCAGATTGAGTATGAAGAGGTTTCGAGCGGTGCGCATTATTGGCTTTCGCAGCACTGCTATGACCACCAGTACGTTGCCAAGGGCCCCAAAAACAATGAGCACGCTGTACATGGCAATGAGCAAATGATACCAAGGTCCGTCTATACTGCGATTACGCAGAAACCGTTCGATGAGCACGGGATCCATAGCTGGCATGCCGCCGGACGTGCCGTTGAAATTGGTGGCATTGAAGCCACTGTGATTTCCCTGTATGTACTGAGTGGTGGCGACGGCGGTACTGCCACCACCCGCGCCCATCTCCAAATAGTCCAGTGTATGCCGTTGCTCCTGGGAGTCGATGAATCCCGAGCTGGCGAAGGCGCTGAGGGACTCCGCATTGCTTGCTGACAGCGCCGAGTCCGTTTGATTCATGCCGATAATCTGTTTATAGAGGGAGACAAAGTGACGCATAATGAACTTCCCAGCCTCAGAAATCAATACAGCTAAGTGGAAATAATGCCAGTGTGTCGATGCGAGTGTGTCTGTGTGTGCGTGTGTGTGTGTGTGGATGGCCTTGTTTATGATTTATGAGCCTGGCTTAACGCACACGACTGACTAAGCTGTGCTCTTTGGGCCGACGACTTCATCGCTAGGTCGTTGCTGGTAGCTACGGTTGGCCAAAAGTAAAAGTAAGGTGCCATAAACAACATTAGCGTTCCTCATACGAAGACGACAGACAGTCTATAGTCATTTGACATGATTTGAATGTGACTCTTTATGGGTAAATGCGAGGCATGTGACAACAAAGGCAACAATCGCAAAGCAATGCGTCACATTTTTAAGTATCAATTAAGAATCAATTTTAAATTAATGTTCCCTTAATATTCCTATTTAAGACTTAAGCCAAAAAACTGTACCTGGTTTCCTTAAACAGCCTGTTGTTAAATTTGTACATTTTATATTTCGTTTTTGCCTCGTACTCTTGAATTTAATTGAATAGCATATTTCATATTTTCTTCCAGTATACTCGTATGTATATGCCACCTGCAATTGAAGGTGACATTCGGTTGAGCTCGCAAAGCCACCTGCAGACTTCAAATTTATTTTGGAGTTGCGCCAAGGGGCGATTTAAGGATTGCTGAGCATGCAAAGGCATTTTATTTGCGTAGAAATGGCAGTCGTGCAGGTGACCTTTTGGCCACATCAGATTGTAGTGCTGCATGTTTTGACTGCTATCTTTGTTAGTCATGCTGACTATAGGATCTTCTATTTATATTTTGGTCATGATGCCCTTAATGTCTGTTGTTGGCAACAATTTGTTACACTTGGCCTTCAACTTAGAAGTCGTGTCAACAACCTACGCTCATTTATATGTCATGTTCAAATAAATTTATGCAGCTTTAGCCGCGCCCACTCTCTATTTGTTTTTCTCTTTTTCGTGTTTTCTCTCGTTGACAGGGCTATGCATATAATTTACATGAACTTTATAAAAGTTATAAACAATATGCCCGAGATATGCTTCCTGCTAAACAGTGCGCGCAGTGGATATGCCAGATATGCCGCAGTACCCCCACACCTACAAACATTGTCGATGCCCCCAAAGCAATATGAGCCGCCATTAGCTATTAAAGGAAGATACTTTCACCGTTATGTTCGCATAAACGACGCACATTACACGCACAAGCTGCGGCGCCCGTCCCGAGCAAATGTGAAAAATCAATGGCAGATATGTACATTCGACGGCAATAACAAATGACGACACTTGCTACAAATAATTGTGCACTGTTGTGCGCCAAATGAAGCGCACTTGTCAGTGTCAATAAAACGAAATGGGCAGCATTCCGAAACTCCCTTGAGTTCTCGCCCCACGCGTCGCGTCGCTGCACGCCGAAAGGGAATTAGAGCGCCGAAAAGTATGCAAGCGCTATAAATGATCTGCCAATAAATCCTGACGATGATTTCAGTCAGTTTCTGTATCGCTGACGAAATAAAATAAACTCTGATGAAAAAATCGCATTGTTAAATCGAGCACAACGGGAAGCTATCACTCGCAGAATACGAAAAGGAAACACCATTTGCTGTTATAGTTAGGGCTACCTGCTCTCAATTGGAATATTAGTACATATTTGATTTTAAGCGGATACACATGGTTGGAATTGAATGCTCTTTCTTGTAAATGTCTTGCTCTGTCTCTTGGCTCAAGCACAGGAAACAACTAGGCTGGCCTAATGTGTACCATAAGACCCCTTATAAATTTATAAATATATTCATTTTACATCCCAAAATTAGTCATAAAGCTCTCGTATGCTATAAATAAAAGTTCCAGCAGACACACAATTTGAAATTATAACCGAAGGGTGCAGCTGGAGCCTCTCGTATGGGTCTCTTGTGGGAAAAAGCAATGAGGTGAATGCCCAGCAGTTTGTTGATGAGGTTGCCTCACTCCGTCTTCGGAGGATACTGGCCTCGCAGTCCTATTTCTGTCGTTCCTTACGTATGCCATTCAATTACGACTCAAAAAACTGAAAATGTTCCCCTTCAAGTCGGTTGCTTAGTTTCTTGGCAGATGAACAAAAAATGCTTTTAAATTGATTGTGTATTGGACTCGTTCTATTAAAAGCATTTTTTCTATCAGCGAAAGGTTAGTTCCTTGCCACCCACCGCTCAGTCTTCGATTTAGTGGCCAAAGGTAAACAATAGATAGATTCCCTTGTGGTTGCAATTGGAGCAGAAATTGCATGCGAGCATGCAATAAAAATTCAATTGAAAGTTTCAATTTTCCTCCTTTGGGTCGGACAAGGACAAACATTTGCACAAGTTGCCGAGTTTTCGAATGAAATCAAACAATATGAACTCTTTAAGTAACAAATTTAGAAAATATTTTACACAAACTTATTAACTGACAATGAGCTGCATTTTCGCAACAACCCAATGATAAAAGGAAGTTAAAAATAGCCAGCATTGTGTCCAAGGATGATGTTCACTTTGCAAAGTCCCAAAATTAAGGTGAAACTTTTTGAGAAGCACAGAAATTCCATGGCCCAGAACGGAAAGGAAATTGATAAAGAAATAGACACAGACGAAGGACAAACTGCTGCCCCAAAGCTGATCAGAAAAGGTGTCTTGAGAGCTTAAGTTTTGTGTCAAAGCCCTCAAGTCATTCAGGATTTTCTACGATTCTCGTTCCAAGGTGCAAATTGTGGTTCACAGTTGTGATTTCCTTTCATGCCACAAACTAAGCGCCTTGAGTTGCAAATATTTCGATGCTGCGCGTAATCTCTGGCTGCACGCAAAAGGCGGAACTTTTGTGCAAACTTCGGGACTGGAAAATTATGTAAAGTAGCGTCAAGTTCTTACGGGCTTGCCATAAATTTGAATAATATTGAAATTATCAACGTCTTCGCTGTGCTGTCATCACTGCAGGGGGCATTCATATTTCGCCCTCCTGTCTGCCACAGCTCACATTTAACCGGCTCATCACATAAATAATGCCTGACAAAGACGTTAACTGTTGCCACCGACATCACTATCGCCAATTCTTGTTAGCCAACCAAGTCGAGCGCCCCCTTTGAAACCGCTACTCGTATCCTTGTGATTTATTTCGGCTGGCATTTCGGATGTACTGGGTTCCAGTTTTGCTTGCTACCCAGCCATACTTTGATTACCGAAATGAATTTTATTGCCATTTATACAATTTGTTTCTTTCTTCCGAATGTTTAAATGTTCACTCAGACTGTGGCAGGCGGACCGTTTGCTGAATGACAGTTTTGCCGCGCCGTTGACAAATGTGTCTATTTTTTGTTGTTGTTGTAGGAAATGGCATTCATATCCATCCCTTTTGGGATGTCGCTGTCGTTGGCAGAGGAAGGATATTTATTTTATTAATTGGTGTCGGTTTCAGCCCACGACACAGACACTAAGTGGAGCCCAGTCGTAAGCATGATTGGTTGTTTATTTTTGACAAAAAGGGCTGGAGGGGTAGAGCTAAAGAGAGTTGAGTATTACAAATGTTATTGGTTGAGCCGCAAATAAGCTATATAATCCTTGCATGTGTGCTAAAATATTGGCGCAAATTCATTTGATAGCAGTTTTATGAGACAAAATAAAAATGTTTTTTCGCAAAGTGGACTGATGGCTACATTATTTAAATCTCGATAATAAGACTTGCTTGGATCATATCCTTAATCAACATGTATTCCATCATGAAAGTGTTTAATAAATGTGTAGGTCTGGCTTATCTACCATCATACTGTCTGCCCAATTGTGCAATCTTCCTTTGTAAATTGCTTTGGTTAAGTAGACCCATAATTTTAAACTGGAAGATATTTTATTTTTTCCAATACATTTTGTTTTTTTTTGGTGCCTGAGCTACAATCTCTGAAATTTAAACTCCTTGTTCAGTTTACCTAACCGAGTCGGTTAAGTTAGGCAATTATATAGTTATTCTACCTAAATTAAATTGTGCTGACCAGATCGATATTGTACGGTAGTCAAATGCCAGATGGGACAACATTTAACTCCCTTTCTATTATAACTTCACTGATAAAAAAGCACGGAAATTTCAATATTTACACGTAGATTCAACTATTTTTACCATCGATTTTGCACCATCGTGTGTTTTAGTACAAATGCAGTGAGCACACTTAAATTTAAAAATTTAATATTAAAATATTAAATTTAAAGTGTGGCAATATTAAATCACAAGTAATGACGTGGCGACGTGGGTTTGATTCACGCCAAAGGTTTATTTTTTTATAATTACAAAATATTTATTCCACTTTTTGGTCTACGCTACTGGTTTTTTTTAACTCTTTTCAATATTGACATTTCCATGATGCATATTTTATTTCTATAAAAATCTTTTATTTTTTTAGCAGAAAGTAATTTTAAAGTTCGTTTTTTATCCATCAATTATTTTTTTTTGATGTTTTTTTATGCCTCTTAGTACGGATATACTTTGGATCAATATTAATATTATAAGTGAGAAACAGCTGATTGAGAAACACTTACTTGACACCCTTTGTATTTATACCACACAACCGCTGAAAACCGACTTGAGAATTCTAGTCAATTGAAATTTAATATATTTCTAGTATATTTAAATCGACTACAAAAAACTTCAAATTAAAGTTTAGAAAAATATTATAATTTACTATGGAATATAGTCAATGTTTGTTTTTTTTTTTTTTTGTGTGTGCATATTAATATTTAAAATGGTTCCTCATTAAATTGAATATGGCACACTTTAATAACGAAGTTTTGAATATTATTCATATTAAATTCACTAATTGAATATGTTTTTAGTAAAATTTACGATGTTTATCTTTGAATTGAATATGAAATAGGTGAACATTAAATTTAATATGAAAATATTCATCCGTACTATGCAACTTTTTTATCAGTGTAGAGGAACTTTTTTAAAATGAATTCAAAACATTCTTTTTTACAAGATTTCCTTTTAAAAAAAATTAGAATTGTTGTTGTCTGGTATTTATGGGACTATCCTAGGATTATCCTGAAACATTTTATTTTAGTCTAGAAGTTCTATATACAAGTATTTATTAAGTGCCTTTCAAGCTGCTAATAAATTCTGTCAGCTGTGCCTGTCATTCAATTATTTTTATTTTGAAGAAGAAGTATTTAATTGTCTAAGATTTTTGACTAGGATTTTTGAAACATTTTATTTTAGTCTAGAAGTTCTATATATTTCTTAAGCTCCTTTCAGGCTGCAATTATTTTTATTTTGAAGAAGAAGTATTTAATTATTGCATGTTTCGGTATTTAGAAATGAGTAAAAGAATAACGAGAAGTTAGTCCATGCGAAGAACTATTTGCCCATTAGAATATATGTTCACTTCAATATTAAAATTATTAAATGATTGTATGCACCGCGATCTATTAAAAGTGTATATCACCCTTTAGAGATGTATACTTTAAAGACAGCTACATTAAGAAATATTTGTACATTGTTGCTTTTATAGAAGCAGCTACATTCAAAAATTGTGGAAGTAAAGGAACCAGAAAATGAGATGACTTCTCACCTCAGCTTCAATGTTTTTTATGTGAAATTGAAATTGAATGCACAAACATCTTTTGTCTTTGTAAACAATTTATTGCGAGGACATGGAGCAATAATTAATTGTCCTTGGCACTCGAAACTAGCGAAAAGAGACAGTAAAGAGCGGACAGTGGGACGTTGATTTCAGGAAAAGTGAGACCCCAATACTTGGAAATACGTGCCGTTGGTTCTTTTATTATTTCTAGGAAACCTTTTTGTTTTTATCATTTTGGAGGTGTTCATTTAATATTACCAACTCTGTTTGTTTTCCCTTTGAATAACTGATTTTGCTTAGCCAATTGGAAATCATTTATTAGGTAAGGAGTAGAGGAAGACGAGTGTCGCAATGAAGACAAATGTTATTTATGTAGCTGTGTGTCGATGTAAATCCTATTTAGACACGAATGCATTGTTTGTGCTGCAACTTTTAATAGCATTTGGGTGGCAGTGTGGAAGAGTCGCCATTGCTGATGTCTAATGAAGTGAAACTAGCCAGGTACCAAGCGTAATTACATGCTGTACTAGTTTGGGGAAGCTTTTTCGCTTAGAGACAAAGTTATGCAAAGTCATTGCAATTTCATTTCAATTTGTCATTCTTGTAAATGGCTTTTGGAATATTTACATTGCAATTACAAGTACATGCAACTACATCTACACTCACCATATTCCACGTGCCTTCTGCTGTGTGGACACAGCTGTTGTCCTGTTGTTGCTGTTGTTGTTCTTGTAGTTGCTGCTTTTGTTCGCAGTATTTGAGCTTGAAGGTATTTGCTGGTGATGCCGTCTATCCCTGTTGTCCTTGTTCTCGACAGCTCAGCTCATTTGGTTTTCAATTCTGTCTCTTGTCTTGCGTTTACACAAAACGTCGCCGTATGACACTCATTGTTAGAATTTGTCAGCACTTTATCCATAATTTAAACACCCTGCTGTTACAAAACAATATACACACACTTCTGCTTCCGAGGCGGGCTATTTTGAAATTGTTTCACTTTATGTGGCTGATCCTACTCGAAGAGAGGCTTTCTTGTTTGCTGCCTACATTTGCTAATTCATTCCGTTTGTTCGGAACAAACCAACTAATTAAAAGTTGCATCAAACTTTTTTGCACCAGTTATGCAGTCGGAAAAATGAATGCCCTTTGGGGCTTACGCAGCAAATTATGCGATGGAAAGCCATCAGCAAACGCTATATGTCCAAAAAAAATATGTATACATTCATAACGCAGCTGTCAAAAATGGTTTCTCCATAAAAAACTCAGAGAACTACATATATTAAACTACTTTTTTATCTTTTTTAACTTTCAAGTTAGATTGTTCATACCTGATAATCTCTAATCCTATCTTACTCTTCCACTTCTTTTAATTTTATTTTTAATGTTCTACTATTCAATATATTTAATTCTTTTGTATATTCATAAGTTTTTATATTTATGTTGTTCTTTTCTTGCAAAGCTAGCAGTTCTTTGTTAACTATAATTAAATAAATACCTGTATGAAGAACTTTAACATCATTTATTACCTGCTAATTGTGCCATAAACAGATTTTTAGTGTGTCTTATGTGATTAAAATAGTTTGCCAGAACGATAGATATGGCTATATGGTAATTATTCATTTATTTGTTACGATATTTTTCCATGCCGCTCAGAAGTCAAATGAAATGGAAAATAAAACTATTTACTATAAAACTATACTTGTCTTAAAAGGCTTAACGAACACAACTCTCGTTATATACTCTAACCGAATCGTAAATATGTGTAACAGGCAGAAGGAAGCATATTTTTTTCGTTTATTGATTTGGTAAAGTGTATTTCACTGCCAGACTTGCTCGACTATCCCTGCCGCTTGTTGGCATTTCATTTTTTAATTATTCTTAATGGAATTGAGAAATAGGTTCACGCTGTACTCTCTACCGAAAGGGTAGAATAGTATAAATTTAACTTTTTTTTGTGAAATTGCATTTAAAATTCTAAGCATATAGACATATGACGAAACGAATTGATGTAGCGTTGTCCGTCTGCCCATCTCTATTAACGAAACGATATTAGAAAGTATAGCAACTAGAAGCATCCAACGTTGTATTTATTCTTACAGTAATTGTTTAATACAAAACTAAACCATAATGAAATGTTTGAATCGATTGCATTCACATCTTAAAGCAGCTGGCAGACCTCACATTTGTGGCCATAGCTTCCTTTACAGTTGACATATCGCGGTGTAAATGTAAGTTTAACATTTCCATTGTATTAAAAAAAAAACGTATCCTTTTTCGCATCTGGAGAGTAATCTTAATTTTCAAATACTTGTTTAGATCTTTGCCTCTACATGGACAGAAGGACAAACAAGACGAGTTTGTTTGTTGTCATATTAATTAAACTGACCTTCCCTTATCCTTTGGTTTTGGGGTATAATATTTTATAAATTTCATTCCACTTTAAAAATACTTTTAAAACATCAATTTTTACTTAAGTATGAAGTAATCTTATTGTTTGTGGACACAAATGAAGATGTAATATAAAAAGTTTGAAGTAATTTAAAATTCAAAGCTGTGTTTTCGATTCCCTCCTAGTACTGGCAATATTAGATTTTAATGTTCATGAATATACTGTATAATATTGCCACTTCGATCAATACAAAATTGCTAGAGTGAGTTAAATAATTTTTTATATGTTTTTTACGAGTGTGTGTGTGCGGCTGCATCGGAAAACTTTTCCCAAACTTCTTCAAGTGTATAAATGAGCGTACTTCTTGCGGAGCATATACATATATTTAAAGCTTAGAACTTTGTGATGTATTCCAGTTGACTTGGCGTTTGAATGACAGTCGGATGTGCTTCATTTGGGAGCACCCGCCTGGGCATTCAAATGCACAACCCTGCCTCCATCACCATGGTACAAAACTTCAAAAAGCACTTAGTAGCCTAAGCAAATACTTGACTGCCACGGTCAATAACTCTTCTACTTCATGACACAAGAGAAGGAAGATACAGTCGTGCTCGATATGGCCAATAATCCGTAACATGCCTTTGAACGGTGCCAGTCATTTGATAGCCTTGGCAAAATAATAGCCCGGGTTGCTTGTTAAACTCACTCACTGCCCTTTTTTTTTAGATATTGCCTTTATATTATTTGATTATTCAGCGCATTGCTTCCGGACAAAGTCAGCTTTGTTTTACGTTATTTCGTTTGGTTTATTTTAGCTCACTTTTCACGAGAGTCCGACCAAGTTGTTTAGCTTTAACTATTTCATTTTTTATTGTTCACTCGTTTGTTCACTTTTCATTCTTATTTTGTGTATTCAGAGACTTAAACGCTCTTCACTGTGCTACGCAAACAGCAATTTCGCATTTCATTTGTTTGATTAAATTACAACTTCCTCTCATTGGCTTTGCTTTCATCTCTTTTTCCACTTGCTTGCGACTTTGGCTGCAAATTTTCGAAATAACATTACCAGCATTACAGTTTCCTTTACACGTCTGGTGCGTCACGTCGCATTAAAGGTTTCCACTTTTTGCCTGGTCAGCTGGCAGCTTCATGGCACTTACGGATAGCCACACGAGCACACACGCCCACCCAACGCTCCAGATAAAATACTATTTCGATTATTTTGCGTCGAACGCAATTATCTTGCCTTCGACCACCGACCACCGAGCACCGACCGCCAACCGCGAGCTGCGAGCTGCGAACTGCGCTGCACAAAGAAACAGACAATGGAGACGCTCTAGGGGAGCAGAGAAGTGGAAGAACACATGGAGCTGCGTCCGGCAGATTATTAGCAAATTTCCGCGAAGCGCTTAAGCGTTCGAGCCACTTTGGCGATAAAAACATTGCCGCTCTTTGGAGATTTTCACGCCTTCTGCCTTTTTATTACTGCACCAAAGACAAATAAACAAACCAAAAACAAATGATATTTTTACGCGCATTCGCCCGTCTAGTTGGGTGAAATGGGTGAAGGATGGGTGGAGGACCACTCGTTGTATACCTTTGGATTTCTGACCCCACCTGGCTTCTTCACATCAAATCACAACACAACACAACACTTTGGATCGTCATTTGTCGTCACATCATCAAAAATATTGTTTAGACATGCCGCAGTATTTTTGCCTTTTTATAAATTCAATTTGGATTCTCGTTCTACTTTTTACAACTTTAATGTTTAGTTTCCATTTGGCATCTGGCATGTGCCTCACTGATCGCAGATAACCGAGCGCGTTCACAGCCGGCGACCATCTGTTGGCTTTAACGGGCCAGCCTTTAACTTTTATAACTTGGCCGTGAACTAATGCCACACTGCCGCTGGAGTATCGAAGCCCGCGTTGCGTATGCGCCGTGTGAGCCCAAAGTTGCGACTGACTTCAATTGCGTCCGAGGCGCTTTGTTGTGCCTGCCTGCGGGAGGCTTTCCGAGTATTGTTTGTGTTCCCTTGCAAGGCAACAGCTGTGCGGAGCTTTCTTATCAGTTGTAAGGGTGGTGGTTGCAAGGAAAGCTCGCCACACATGCCGGCTGCAGTGGGACAAGCTCGCGAATAAATTGGCTAAAAGGAGCTTTCGTTCAAAATTGTTGTCCATCTATGTCTGTAAATAAGTACACAACAATATTCTTATAAATATTCCGGGAATGGTTCGTTTATTAACTATTTCATTGCATGTATGTACTTGTCGTCTCTTTTTTTGATTCAAACCTTGTCTTAGATTCTATATCTAATAGACATGTCGAAAAGTCCATGGACAATTTTTGTCACCGTTCAATGTGGAAGAATTTCCACACTAGAGAAACGATTAAAATAGGTATATAATACTACTTTTTCATGAGCTTTCTAATGGTCCAAAGGAGCTCGCTTGTAGCTCTTCAATGCAGATCATCTAGCAGTCCTTTAGCGTCGAAGATGGGCAGCATTCGATGAACAATGCGCTGAGCTTGCTCGCTCTCGTACATAGAGTCCTGGAAGCGTATAGCCTCTGGAGTGTCCTGATATAGATTTTGAAACGACGTCTCTTCCTTGCCATTGTATATCATAATTGTTTGAAAGGCGAGTGTTATAAATACAGCTGCAAGGTCAAGGTGATTTAATACCAGAGATAAGTAATACTAGTTAGCCAAACACAGTTGGAGTACTTACTGAAAAATCGGCGCTTCTCGAACTGCAACTGAAACTCGTATAGGCTGTGGAAGGGGCCCTGGTATTTCAACTGCTCCAGAGCCCCCTTTAGCGCGTAATAGTAGTGCTGAACCAGCTCAGTCTGCCTCTTGCCCACCTCTTCGCGTAGTGATGTGCTGAAGAAGTAGTGCAGATCTATGGCTGGAGAGGTCCAGTGGCTGAACTGAAAGTCGATGGGAATCACAGCGCTGGGCTGTCCATCGGCATTGTATCGGAACATAATGTTTGTGGTCCAGCAGTCGCCATGCGTGAGGGTCTGAAAGTCTTCGGAACCCACATCCAAGCAGCGTGCGCCGTACTCCATCAGATTGTCCTGCATGTGGCTGAGTTTCTCATAGTAGCGTGCCTCCAACTTGGGCTGGGTCTTTATATAGCGTAGCAGGGCCTTGAAGAGTCCAGAAAATACAGTGCCATAGCCCTTGACCCCGCGCGAAAAGAAAGTGCAGTCGTAATTCTTCGCAAACACCTCGGGTTGGCGCTGATGCAGCGCTGCGGCTGCTGCATGATACTTGGCCAGCATTTCTAATGCCAGCTGGACATGCTTCACATCTAGGCGTTGAACGCGATCAGCATTGCGATACTCCAGCTGGCCGAGATCCTCCAGTATAAGGATGGCGTGATCACGATCCACGCAGACGGCATCAGGATGCCGCTTATCTTTGATGCCGAATTCTCGCAAAATGGCGGACATTTTGGGCAAAACATTCTCATACATGTCCAACTCACGAGTGTATACGCCATACTCCTTGAAAATCTCCGCCTCCGGTGTGTCCTTGGAACAGGTCTCCTTGAGCAGGTAAGTCTGTTGCTGCCGTTGACCATCACCAGTTTGGAACTCTACTTGCAGGCGCGTCAACACGCCCACATAGTTCCCGCCCTTTCCCGTGGCTGATTCTGCTGAGAGCTTGAGGACGCGCAGCTGCTGATCCTTATGGAAAAGGCTCAGTTTCTCCTGCATGTACTCCTTGGTCAGCCAGGCGGGCAGTTGCGAAGTTTTGTCGTGCATTTTGGGCGCTCGGTCTGGGTTCACTGATCGCCGACGGCTGTCTAAAAATATCTATAAACATCTCCTCCACTTTTATGCGAAAGCACAAGTTACCGGCGCTATCAGTAATCTAAAGAGAAGCGACTTACAGCACCCAATATAAAATACTAAGCACTTATCAGTCATAGCAAGATCAGGGGGAGATAGCTGCCATGCTATAAAGAACACGCTTTCAATATCGCAGCGTCAATTATATGCAATAAAGTCGATAGTCGGTTTAATATTTGAATTTCCAATAGTTTATTTATTTAGAAATTGGCTAAATAAATCTCATGGCATATGACAACTGAATGGAAGGTTTATTTTTTTCCCCCCCCAACCCATCAGCGAAGTTGGCACTTGTGGCCAAATGTAGTCAGAAAGTTGAGGATATATGTAAATTGAAAGGTGGAATTATAAATTAGAAACGTATGAAAGGCACAATTGAAGTTTGAATGAATTATTAACTCGATTAACTAAAGATGCGCGTCGCGCTTAAAATAATAACAATCTCGGAAGCTTGCTTTGACATACTAGTATGAGTTACACAAAGTATTGTTTCGCATCCACATATTATTGATAAAGCAAGTATTCCAGCTAATATGGCTTGATTCGTATTACACTCCACTCGGTTTCGTAATTATTTCAAACTAGTTTTATATATATATATATATGTTTGCAGGAAATGGGCAGAGATTGCTATTGAGATGCAACCTGGTTAAATGTTCTAACATAGTCGAGCGTGATTGTAAAATTGTAATTCCAAGATTGAGAAGAACATCTCTAGAACGATTTGCTATTTCATGCGGATCAAGACTCTACGCAATAGCCCTTTCCCTTTGTTATTGATTATAACAAGGAATTGAATTTGGAACTTAACAGAACAATGTCCAGTAATCCGTTGGCAGTGTATAATTTTACAGTTTAGATAAGCGTGTCTATGTTTGAGTAAATTAATTTTACCTTCTATTTGCTCTTCTTATCCTAATTGCATCTCCTAAATCTGTAAAAATTGTTTATTGGCCGGGGTGGCAGTTGCCAAGCTCTTGAGACTATCAGATCAGCATGAGTTGGCGTTTATCACGGTCCTAAGGCTTTCGATGCAGGGAGCTAAAAGCTGCATATCATGCCACCAAGACGTGCTTTAACTGTCTAAAGAGTATCGACAGTCCTGTCATGTGGCTTCGATTTTCAGTCGTTGCTTTGGCCAGACCCAACTTCCAAATGCGTCTGGCCATGCTAGTGTTATCGCTAACTATTAAGGTTTGTAAATTCTGCAGAGCTCTTAGTGTTTATATCATTTATATTGGACGGATTTACTTTTTATTTATGAGGTAGAAGCCCCACCGCTGGCCTTTAAACCATAATAATAATAATAATAACATTATTAGAATGAGTATTTTTACGGAACTCGGAAATTCTATTTAAGAATGTATTCACAACTAGCTGTACACTGCCACGATTCGCAATGACTCATTATCTTTGCATGGATAGGAAAAAAAGCAGAGCATACATTTCATATAAATTTAATTGCTAAATACATTCTTGGTGGTTAAAGTATTTCTAATAAAAAAAAGTAAAACTAAAAAGTACGTAACAGGGAGAAGGAAGCATCTCCCACTCCATGAAGTACATATATTCGTAATCAGCATGACAAGAGAAATCTGTGTCTGGCCGTCTGTCTAGATGAAAGCCCAAATTTCGGATACGGCTGCGAAAACCTCGTATGTAGGCAGTTTGTTTGGATGCACGGTATTTCACTGTCGGGCTTGCTCTCTTGGTTTTCCATTGCCTGTGTAGATATAGTAACTATCTCGATTGTCGACACGGAAACACGTAACATTAGGCTGTCCATGTGAAAAGCAATTCATGTGAAACGCAAGCCATCTGTTTATCTAAACCAGACAGTTGCGTAACCCTGTTGATTGACATGAAAGAGCACATCGGACGGGATCAAGGGAGATCGAGGGATGAGGAGATCTTCACCTCTGGCAGATTGATATTTCGCAACACGATAATTAACACGTGAGTTCAAAAATTCAGTTGGATAATCAACTGCATGATGTGCTTCATCAATCAATCTACCAATATCTGATCTACTCGCTATATAAATTCTGGATTGAATAACATTGTTCAGTTGGTAGACATCTTTGCTTTTCGAGACAAGGCTAAAATTTCTAAAATTCATTTGAATATTTTTGAGTTCTTCCTTCCAACTCACTAAATTACAAAAGTTGTAAGGCAACGGCTTTCTATTCGTAATAATTCTATTTCTATGACCAGTAATAATCAATTAGGCATTTATTTACGTTGCTTTTTGCTTTATTCCTTTTAGGGAAAAAATTTGTTGTCGCAATAATGCGAAAGATTCTGAGTTCAAATTAAACGTACCCAAATATTGGCACTATTGGACATTCATTGCAACATTCGGTTTGATTTCGAGTTCATACTGGTATGTAGTCCATGGTTCCAGCTGGGAGAAATGTTAGTTCGTGTTGCATGTTTGGCCAGAAACATATATCCACCGAGTGTTTTATCTGTGCCCTGGTAATTCATGTTTGTTTCATTTAATCATCTACATATGTATACTGGCCAGATAGCAGGCCGGCAGCGGGTTCGCGACGCGCGCTTATGTGGCATTAGTAGTGGCAAATAGATCTTCTGGCCTTTAGGTGTGGGCTGTCGTGCGCACTTTTACGAGCAAACAATTAGAATTTCTTCTTAGCCCAAACGATTTGTTGTTGTTTTTTTTTTTTTTTTTTGGCTTCTATACCGACTGCGATGTGCGCATTCGGCAAATTGTTGGGTAAACAAAAGTGCGGCACTGATAAGGCGTAAACAAATGTTTATACAGAAAGGTGGGTATAAGGCATCTTTTTTCCCGCTCTCCACCACCCCCCAACCGCCCAAAAACACACACACACACACACACAAAGCACTTACTCTACTCGCCCCAGCCAACAACACACTCGACACACTCTGCTGCTTGTTTGAGCATTTGTCGGTTGCGCGTTAGACAACGACGCCACAATAAAGTTTTGTTATTATACGTTATAGTAGGGGAATGGAGCGGGTATGTTCAGTTGAGGGAGGCTGTGGGAACAGAAGTTAGCAGAAGCTATCAAGAATTTTGCAGAAGAGAAAAGCATACTTCGATGAGTTTATGGGAAATCGATGTTTCTGGCAATTATGTTACATTCAAATAAAATTTAACAGCCAAAAATTATCATTAAATGTATGTTAAATGAACTATGGGAACAGGAGAAGCATTAAAAGAGTACTTAACAGTCGCACTGCCCCGACTAAAGCATTCCTATGTGTTTATTATTGTCGCTGGCGTACAACGGCCTCTTGTTTATCTTAGCCGCTATCAAATTAATTGCGCGCACTATAACAAATATTTGAACTGGCCGAGTCCGGCGAGCGACCAACTGCTGCAAAACTGGCACTAAACTCATGCGCTCACAGGACCAATCACATGCATGATACATTGGTAGTTTATTAGACGAATACACAGGAATACTTTAGCTACTTAGCTATAACGAAACAACAACAAATTTCACTAGACACATTAGGCATACATAGGGAAGGTATTATGGCCAGCACCGATCTATTGCAGCCGCTTGCTAATCGTGTCCAGATAGTTGTAGCCACTGTAGGCCTTACTCGTGCCCCAGTCCTTGCTGAAGCCGTTGACATTAATCTCGTGCGGACTGGAGCCGCCATGCCCGTAGTAGGAGTTGGAGACGCTGCTGCCCACAAATTGCGAATAGTCTGCAATCAGAAATAGTGAGTAGCATTCCATAGAGCTCTCGATTGGCAACTGCCTCCGACTTACCCGACGGATCCGAGTCATAGACATGCGAATGCGACTGCACCAGATGCGGATGGATCTTGCAGAGGGTCTTGAACTTTAGATAGTGTATCAGCCAGCCCATGCCGCCCACCAGCAGCACATTCATGCCCAGAACTCCCAGCAGTAATGTCACGAGTGTCATCTTCAAATGCGCTATTTTAATGAGTATGATGAGCGGCAATAAGATGAGCAACTTCTTCTTCTTCTTATGCCCGCGCCCATCTGCGGAATCAAGAGAATATATTTTTGTAGTATTTGGAAAATAGGTTTCACTTTAATTTGAGAGCAATCTGTTTCTCAATTCGTAAATCAATCAGTTTTGTATATATAAACATTGTATATTTATGAAAAGAAATTTGAAATCGGGGAAAAAGGTTATACTTGCATTTAAAATGTTGTACTAGTTTTTTTTAGCCAGAAGTACAATTTTAAGAGATATGAAAAAAGATTATGAAATGGTTCTCCTGTTTCTTGTAAGTTTTTGCTAACTTTGTTTTATATTCTTGGTGATATGTTATTAAAGTTTCAGTTTATAATTGAATAACTTAAATTTGGAACTCTCTACATATATTGTCACATGGGACTATTCTCTCCTTCCTTTGAATAAAGGGCACACAAATAATTATTAGTTATAAACCATTTCATCTAATAATCGTTCATATGCCAGCAACTTGATCAAATCGACAGATTTAACAACAAGTCAACCGAGATTCTATAACTAATGGCAAAATTGTAGCTGAAATTCTAAGTAACGAAATTTTAGCAGCCTCAGCGACTTTTATAAAATCAATGCTGTTTATGTACAGAGTCATGAAATGTACAAGAGTATATTAGGTTTGCGCGAGCTGAAAAATGTAACAGGCAGAAGGAGGCGTGGTAGACCCCACAAAGTATATATATTCTTGATCAGCATGACAAGACGAGTCGATTTAGCCCTGTCTGTCTGTCTGTCCGTCTGTCCGTATGATCACCTAGATCTCAGAGACTATAAGAGCTAGAGACACCAAATTTTGCACAAAGATGCCTTATTTGTGTACGCTATACGAGTTTGTTTTATTTTTTTGATTTTCCTTCCCACTTCCCCCTATGGGGGTTTTCCCGATTTTCCATTCGTATAATCGCCTATATCTCGGAGACTATAAAACCTAGGAACACCAAATTTTAGTCCAAGATGCCTTGTGTGAATACGCAGCAAATGTATATTTTGGAATTTCCCTCCCTCCCCCCTCTCCCCAGCAAATGCGATTTTCTCTAACTCCCGTAATTCTTGGAATTTCGAACTAAATTTTTGGAAATACCCCCAGTTGGTTATTATGTGTCCGTGTGTCACTATGATAGACCGATTTAACAAGAAGTTATAGCCATAAATATATTTGCTGCTGCAGCGCTGCTCAAGCGCTGCCCGCGCCTGTTGTTGATGTTGCTGTTTGGTTGACTGCGAAAATGCTTACACAGACACAAATAGACGCACATAAACATACATACACTCTCATAGACGCAATTGCTTTGTATATGTGCAATTATATACCCTTTACATGAGTTCGAATAATTATTGTAAACATATGTACAGAGTATTTCAAAGTCGGGACACCCGACTTTAGCTTTTTTACTTGTTTTTAAAGTCAAGAAGAACATTCTGTCCTCCAGCATTCATTTGTTAATTAAAATATTATTTACAACTTGTTTAAACTTGAGCCTAGAAACTTTAAAATATAAAGTCACTTGTCGCAATTACTCTTCGATGTGACATTACATAAATAATTGGTCGGTTGATTTTCCATTTTTCGAACAACTATTAGCCACGATTTATATCGAGACTAATTGTGTGTGTCCCTGCCCCTCTGACTTACCCACATCGTCCAGAATGCGAGCGCCTGTGTCGCTGGGCAACGCCACTTGCAGAGCATGGTTCCTTCCAAAGGTTTCCACGGCCCGCTTCAGGAACTTAAAGATGCGCGTCAGCTCGCTGTCGCCTGTAGGTAGATGGTTGGTGGGGTTAGGGGCAGAGAGCGAATGAGAAACGATTCGGATATTCGTTATTAGTTTGTTTACACTGGATATTGGAAATTTGCAGGCGTTATTCTACAGAAATTAATTAATTGCTCCGATAAACATCCGCGCGTTTTATCAAATAAAAAAAAAAACACAGGTGCATACCAAAAGCCGCCCGCCAATTGTTGTTTGGTTATTGCTTGCCAGCTTTCAGTGATCTGGCTAAACGGCACTAAATTTTTAGTGGCCGGTGAAAATGTTGTAAGCCAATAACGTGAACCTCTGCGGCCTCTGCTAAGCGACTGTAGAGGCCAAGACGTTTGCCAGCATGTTTGCACAGCGTCCGGCAGTAATATTGGAAGCTCAGTGCATAAAACGCAGCTGTTAATTGGAACTTTCCTTTCTCTGAACCACGTACCCACCTTCGAGGCTCTTGGCATCGCTGAACACGTTGAGGCTATCCCCCTCGGCGGGCTCTCCCAGCTGCACAACTCGCAGCCATCGCAGCACTCCGCCCTGGTCACCAAATTTCCGCTCGTACTCGTTGGGAAAGAAGCCCAGGCCATTGGTGGCCAGCTTCCAGATTAGTTTCGAGGCTTTGTACTTAATGCAGGAGACCAAGTTGCGTGTCTCAAAGCATTGGCGCTGATTGCGCGCAATGTAGGCGTCGCTTTGGGACACGAGTGAGGCACGTGCACGGGGCTCGATCTTGGGCGGCCTTGCATCTCTGATGATGGTGGAATCGCTGGTGGGCTGCTCCACCTCCACCTCCACCTGCGCACTAATGTGATGCAGCAGCAACAGAAGTATACAGACTATGTAGGCGGCCATGCTCCAGCGCCAGACCGACATTTTGCAGCACGCAACGACAATTGTTTGAATAACGATGCTCGTGATTAAACGGAAACTGCTAGTTGGCTGGGAGGAGAAGCCAGAGACCGCACGGCTGGCTAGACGACACACAAATGGCAACAAAAGGCGCCACGCGACTCCTTTTATCACAATCGTCAGCCATTGGCAAACCACAGAGGCTGCCACATCCACATCCACAAGAGCCAGAGCCGAAAGCTTGGCTCCGCTAACTAGTTGCCTGCCTGCCTGCCTGCCTCACTCACTCGCTGGCTGGCTGGCTGGCTGTCTGCCTGGCTAATATTCATGCAACATGCACCGGAATCGCAATTCCTGCACAGTTGCCGTTTCCAATGCCAATGCCACAGCCATTGCGTCGATTTCTGGGTCAGCAAAGCGGCGACGCGACAAAGCGAGTTTTGCGTTTGACTAGAGTTGGCCTGCGATCAACGCTCCAGCAGCGTGCAGGCGAGAAAATTGAAACCCGTCTTAGACACAGTCGACGATGATGCCCGAATGCCCGACCACTGCGAGCCTAGCCATGGATTATGGCCAATAGGCCACTGCTGCTACTGGGGGCAGAAAGCAAAAGCTGCTGCCACAAACGAAAGTGAATCCGCGCAGCTCATATCTTTCAGCTACATTTAATGTGCAACAACAGTCGCTCATTCTGGCATTTCTTGCTGTAATAATTTCCATGGAAAAAACTCTGGAAAAACTTAGGAAAAACTCTATTAAAAAGCTTGTTCTTGTCGCTTTAAATGGAGTGTCGAATATGCAGATTATGCATCACATACACCTAATTCTGTTTTTACACGGTAGATGGGTTCCATAAAAACCGGTGTAAAAAAGGCATTGCAAAAATAGGTGATTGGTTTCTAATCTCTAAAACCTATTTAAATCAGTGAAAAAACACGTATTTATGTTTATTTTCTTCAATCGCATATATAACCGTGTAAAAACAGAATTAGGTGTAAATATATAATAATTTTTGAAATTGAATTTTCTATATTTATTTAAAATCTTTTTTATTAGAATAGTGATTATATTATTAAAATAAGCTAGGTCTCTAATTGAGAGAAGCTTGATCCTTACACTTTAAATCAAGATCTGTATTAAGTGTTTTATTAAATCTTTACACTTATTTTCGTATTAGTAAGTTTCTATACCGTTGATAAGCTGCACTTTAACTAAAAAATGTGATTACATTTCCTCTTCAACTCGTTTTTCCAATCATAAAACTTGACTATATTGCTTGATGCGACAATTTGTTGATGCCGGAAGGAAGCCTGCTCCATCATTATTGTTGTTCATTTTTACGGACATGACTCCACAACTGAGCCACTGTGCGGCGCCAGCACGTCATCCAGCCCGCCTAGCCCACTGTCTTGGCCAACTACAAAGCTTGCCACTCACTAACAATGCCATGCAACGGCTCCAGTGGTAAATGATACCAATCAGAATAAGTGCGAATGCACTTATGCGAGATTAATCTGCGACACAGCGACTGTGTGTGTGTGTGTGCATGTGTGTGTGAGTGTGTGTGAGTGTGAGTGAGCGTGTGTGTATGCAATTTACATATTTGTACCAAAAGTTGATTTCAATTGTTGCGAATTATTAAATTGCTTCTGCTGCGAGCTGCTCGAACTCTTCGCGTTGCTCGTCTTAATTACAATGCCACAATTACCTCCTGCGAAAGTTGTTGTTGTTGTTGTTGTTGCTGCTGATCTGTTGCATTACTGTCTAAGTGAAAGTAGCAAGTGGTGGAGTGGTTGGCTCTGTTTTTCTTTTGATATCATTAATGCGTGCATTCTTTGAGCTTCGCCTGGGACGGACAACCCACTGTTTGTGGCGACAACATCGGCCTAATCAGCGTCATTAAGAGGAGCATGAGGTAATCGCCTACGCCTAATTCTGCTCTAAGTACATACATACATAATATGTATATAAATGCTCAACTACATGGTCGATAGATCAATAAAGCTGCAGCGCTCGCAGCTGTTGGTAGAAAGTTTTTGCGCAATTTGTTTGAACATTGTGTTTCGGCCAAGCTGAATTAAAGACAATACACTTGCATTTAAACATGTATCGTGTGATGGATATTGATGAGACATACATATGTCCTCTAAATTCAACTGTAGGCGAGTGCAATAGAGCTGAAGAAAATAATAGTGATGGCGATAGCGCTGATCAAACTCACTCACTCCTGATGGCTGCATATTAAATCATGATGTTGAACACGCAAACTGGCCAACAGGCCAATTGGCCAACTGCCCAGCAAACGAGCGGACATCACAGGACGTCCGCCTACAGCAGCTTTTACATCAAGTCGCCAGCTTGGCTTTTCCCTTGTCGGCGACAATTAAGCAAATTATTATGCCGATGCATTTGAATACGCTTAGAGCAGTCAGCGGATTGGCCAACTGACCGACCGACCGACCGACCAACCGGTCAAGAAACCGACGCGTCTCCGGCGTCAGGCGGATAGGCAAAGATAATGTCCAACCGTTGACCGTGAGACTTGGCAGCTGCTTTTAATTGTTCATGCAAATCAACGCACACTATTTTTAAACCGGCCGAGCGAGCCTTTGGTCAATGGTCGGTTATTTTATGGGAATTCACACCTGAATTTTTGAATAGCTAGGAAAATATAAATACTTGCAACTACCTGTTGATAATGACGGCGATGGAGAAGCGCATGCAAATGAAATAAACTTCCTAGTTTATTAGTGTCCTTCGTAAATTTAAATGGAAATATAAATACAACTCGTAAAATCGAATCATTAATCCACCCAGGAATTTCTACAGGCATGTCCACTCGTTTTCCTTTTCTAAATAATGGCCGCTTGCAGCTAAGGCGTCAACATCAGCGGTTGTTACAAATTTTACAAATATTGTTCGAATTGTTGTCCAAATAAACAGTAATATCAATTTATTTTAGATCATTCAAGGCCGTGAAAACCTAAAACCTTAACACGCTTACACATAAGTATTGTTAACGGATTGCTTTGTTTACACATGTGCTGTGGACCCTCCAGCGGTTGCTGCATGTGCTATGGTTCTGTTCCGGACTACAGTGGTGGATAGCAAATAATTTTTAAGTTTCGCCCAAAAGCATGCAGTAAAAGTTGTTCAGTGCATTTATTTCCACCATTCGAAATAATTCACCACCTTCTTACCTCGAATATGGTACATGGAACAGCCGATTGGAGCGCCTTTGTTCTGTTAAAATGTATTTCCACATTTTGCGATTGCAGTATTGCTACCGTAAATATTTCGCAGTTAGACACTTGTTGCGGAACATTTGTTGCCTAAGAACAACATGTTGCAAGAGAAAACTTTGCATAAAAGTGAAATGGACATACAATTTAGAAACAAAGTGTATTAAATTTGTACATTTACATAGTTTCTAATTTACTTAGTTTAGCGTATGCAGACGCTTCATTTGTTATGAACTGCTATTTTTTAAGTGATTTTTTGTCGCTCATGATAAGGCGCTTTATCCCTAACTTTAAAAGCTGCATTGATGTTTTGTTTTCGTTACTTTCTATTCTTAGCCCATTTCAAGGAGTTTTCAAAATTTGCAACACCAAAGAAACGACCAATCGCTAGGAACGCTTTCAATATTTTCAAGGCAAAGTAGAGTCAATTCTGATAGACTATGATGCTGATATACATTTTCATCAGTGCTTACTTGTACCCGCATCTGACAGTATAGAATTGAACCATCCCTATCAATAGTTTAATGCGTTGAGGCCTTGAATCTCAAGCTAAATACCGCTTGTCAGTGCTCGAAAAATATACGAACGCTTTGTGTTTAGCTCTGCCAAAAAATAGGTGGACGTGTAAATTACAGTCAACACTTTTATACGCACATAAAAATAAACTAAAACTAGGGCACTCATTTACAGAGAGGGACTGAACTTATGCTAAGTGGTTTGCCATCCAATAACGATCCTCCTGAAAAACTGAACCTACAGCACCAAGTTCCTCAGACTACTTCTGGCACGCAGAAGGCGCATAATCAACGAATTCTTGTCCAGGCCATAGATGGAGGTGTGCTGTCCAGGCAGAGGCACTGGATCATCTGTCATGTAATCCAGGCTGAGTGCTGCCGGGGATAGGGCGGCAGTAATTGCTTTCAATGTGGTCATCATTGCTGTTGGCGTTGTTGTTGCTGTGGTTTCACTTGGTGTGGATGGCGGTTGGAGCTCATGAGTAGGCACCAATGGCCCTACTGTGGTCGACGTGGCGTGCTCCGCTTCGCTAGACCCTGTGGACAGATCTGTTTGGGTCGTGGTTTCTGCACTGGTGGAGGGCTGCAAAGTGGTGGAGATGGCTGTCGTGGCAGTTGTAGAGTCTGCCTCTGACTTGAGGAGCGTTGTCAGAGTCGAGACTTCAGCTATTTCCGTACTTTCTGGTGTAATAGGTTCTGTTGAAGTCGTTATGGCAGGCATGAACAGCATTTTCGAGCTGGCATCAATTTCCTCATAGATAGGCTCGCCATTGGTGAAGTCTGGGATTTCCGTAATCGGCATCATTTTTGCTGTTGTCGATGTTGTGGTGGTCGTCGCCCTCGTTGTCGCTGGCATGGGAGGGGATGTCGTGGCTCTTGTCGGCATGGGCCTTACAAATTTATGTGGCTTTGCATGGTACATCTTTTTGTTGTGGGACTTTTTCGCAAAAATGTTCTTGACATTGTCCAAGGTCCTTGGCACTAACCAATTGTCATTGGAGAGCAAGGACTTGGATGTTGCAGACGCTCCTTCCCAGGCGGCATTTTCCGCCCTATCGATGGGACTTTCCGATAAATGTTTCGCTTTAAAGCCTCCAAAGCTGGCCAACTGAATTTTGCGTATTTTGCGATTGTTGGAATCATTTGCGCTGATTGTGGGCTTACGCACGGGCTTGCGCAGCTTCATATTCCGGCTTGTTGCTGGCATTGATGTTGTAGTGGTTGGCCTTCTCCACTTCTGTATAATCATAGTAGCTTCTGTGGCGGTCTTAGTGCTATTGGCACGCTCTGGCTGGCTCGTCGCATATAGGACTGAGGGTATACGATTCGGCTGATGAGTGCGATCGGTGGCAATGCTCTCGGCGACTTCCTCCGCAGGAAGTGCGCATTCACCCATTTGAGTGATCTTCCAAACTAAAGGAGGAAATGGGACAGTTAGATGAATAAACTAATCGGCGACTTTGTGATTCCGCTTACCACTGCTGGGATCCTTGCAACGCACGCGACTCAAGTAGCACTCGTTCATGATCGTGTAGCTTATGCCATTTCTCTTCACACAGATCGGCCTGTAGTCCGTGGGGCATTTGTAATCGCAGCTGCGACAAGGCCCCTCATACAGAATGGCCCATGCTGGAGTGGAGATGTAATTGTGAAATAAATAAATAAATAAAATACAGATGACGCGATCACCAGATTCTCTAGATAATAACCGGCTAAGAGGTGTGATTAATAGAGTTCACACCTGCGATATCACTTCGCAATCTTGTCTGCCATTTACTTTCCATTTTGCACGTACCAAGCTATTTGTTAGTAATCGATCTTGTTCTGGCAATCCAAAATATACTGGTGAACGTGCCCATATACAGATATCAACTAATCGTATCACATACCGTTGCCAACTCGTTGACTGTATTCCATCAGGTTGCAGACGTTGGAAAAGGTGCGGCTCTCGCCATTAAAGCTGCCACAGACGGGTTCGTTGCTGAACACACACGGTTTGGCGTCGACAGATTGTTTGTTGGGGCTTTTGCCAGCTCCGGCGATGGGTCGTCGCCTAGACTTGGGTCTGGAGACGACGTAAGGCTTTCTTGCCGGCAGCGAGTAGCTTTTCTCCATGGTGCCCGTATTGCTGATGAACTGTGTGTGGAATGTGGATGGCGCATAGATCTGCACCACCTCGTCGGCCACCTCAAAATCGTCCACCAGATTGACCTTCTTATGACTGCGCTTGGTGCGGTCTGCCTCCGTCTTGGGCTTCGCCTTCGGCTTGTATTTGCGGTTGTGCTTCAATTTGGTGGTGTCCTCGCCACAAAGCCCCTCAGATACAATGCGCCAATCTGTGAATGGAACGTCAGTTAAATGCCGGCGAAAGCCTCTTCAGATCCGACATACTTCGGCCGGTTCTTATATTCTCTGCGTTGACCAGACACTCATTGGAGAATGTGGACTTGACCCCGCCATAGGCCGCGCACACTGGACGATAGACTTTTGTGCAGGGTATAGGCTGCCGGCGCTTGGCCTTCGGTTGGCCCACAAACACCGTGTGATGACGTCTCTCGTTGCGCCCTGTGGGGCAGATGCCCCATTTGTAGACTAGCCAGTCGCCCTTGGAGAGGCAGGAAGTACGTGCCATTTCGCAGCGATTTCTGAAGTTCTTGCGCCTGCCAGTGTCAACGCTAATCCCACAAATCGGCTTATACTCGAAACCGCAAGCAAACTCACAATCGGGCAAGCAGTAACGGAGTGCGGCATCAACTTTGTGGTATAGAATGGATCAGATTTTAGATTAGTTAGTAATCGCAGTGGGTCGAATGTGGTGGCAAGCATTTACTGCAGAGACTAGAGACTAAATGGAACTACGCTTGCTTATTGAGTAACAATTATTTTTATGCACTTCTAGGTTCAAAGGTTTTTGGTTTTTACTTATAACGTTCTTGCAAGAATAAGTTTAATTGTTGTTTTATAATTGTTATAAAAACATCGACAAAATTATCACAAATTAGAGAAAGTTTTTGAAGATCATAATTCTTGAAATGGAGAGGCTGGAAAGCTTAGAATGTTTTTCAATTGGCGAACTATTCGAACTATTTGGGTGTTCCATTGTTGGTCTTCCAACAAATACATTTTGAGAATACCCTTTAGCTCTCAACCGACTCTTATTGTTTCATAAATCTTGCCAAGCTCAAATCTCCATCCATGCTCAAGATCGGTAGAGCGCTGTTAAAATCCACAAGCAATAAACTAAATAGTCGCTAAAATGTTTGTGCACAATATTGTTCGCATCAGTATTAAATTTTGTTTGAGTTTTCTTCGAATGTGCAGTTTATACTTGTAGTTTACTGTACTTCATATTCCTCTATCACCTACATAGTGGTCCCATGAGATTGGAACGCTGCGCCTTTCGCAAATGGCACTCGTTCTGGAAGAGCAGATACTCGGTTCGACTTCGCGCACACATGGGGGTATTATCATTCGAACACAACATGGTGGCTTGTTCCAGCACCTCGTCCAGATGATCCGCTGGCGATTGGGGGGCCAGCAAGAGCACACAAAACACACAAGTCCACAGCACTTTCATAGTCAAACACTTTCTTAGATTGAATTCGAGCGGCAAGAGAGTGGAACGGCAGCAGCAACAAGCAGCTGGCCACAAGTTCTAGAACACGGTAACTAAATGCAACTTGAGATGCGATTTTGACTTTTATACGCGCATCAGCGAGTCTTGAGTTATCTTTGTTGTTGCTCTTGTTGTTGCTGGACTGCTGCTTCTTCGCTTTGTGCAATCTGCCAGCGCGAGTGCATCACAATGTGATAAGCAGAGATATATCGGCACAACTATCGCTTCAGCTGGCCTCCAGTTACGTGCCAATCATGGCGCTCAGGCGTGGGTGCATGAATGCCTGCAGATCTTATTTCAACAACAGCAACAACAACATCTAGTGATAAGCCGGCCCAAGATTCTCTCATTACTGTCAATTGACAGATTTTCAGATTTACGTCGCTTGCGGCTGTCACCGCAACAATTAGAGATTCAACTCTTGGCGGGTTTTGTTGCCACCGCCACAGTCATCATCGACGCTTAATGCAAGCCACATGCCTCTCTTCTCCCTCCTCCCTCCTCTCACCGTAGACTTAGCACTACGTGCTTTTTGGCCGATTCGGCCAGAGACCGTGTGCGATAAAGCGCCACAGAGCCAAAAGTTTGCATTTGCATTGATTGTGTGCCGTCGACTTGTGGCCAGACGTCGAGTTCGACATTTATCTGCTCGCTTTTTGCAAATTTTAGAAATTTTCATAAGTTTTATCGTTTCCGCAGTTCTAAGCCGATAAAATACTTCACAATATTAGTAAGTACAAATAAATGCAATACAAATACAATACAGTAGATGCAATTTTCAAGAATGCCAGTCAAGTCGGCATTCGACTTTCATTGTTGCTGAATGGGTGAGTGTGCCATGTGGAAGAGGAAATTCTAATATCCGGTCGATAAGCGCCAAGAACTGTTCATTCAATACTCATGGGTAGCTGCAAAAAAAGAACGCAAAACGTAGAATTTGCACGCACACATCGTATCATCATCTGGCGGCTAATCTTGATAATAAGCTATGTTTCTAGATATCTGAGTTATGTATTCCATAGCCGAAACATATGTTATGCTTTAGTGGATAGAGATGCCAAGCCAGTGCTCAGTTGGTGGAAACTCTTCGAGACACAAGCAAGAAAAGCTCAATTTGTAATATTGGAGATGTTGCTTCAGTCAGACAAAATATATGAGCATTGGCTTAAAAATATTGTGGCTGACAGATGAGAGCTATATTACTAAATATATTATTAAATGATGTAAGTAAAATAAACTAATTAATGCAAACCATGATTTCCTAACACTATTAAAGCTTGTTTAGTCCTTCCTTCCTTCCTTTTTTCTTAAAACAAATCTTAAAGGTAAACGATATACTTCAACTCTATCATGTTTGTAAAATCTTGCAAAGTATTTGAAAGCTGTTGCATCAGCTAGTCCATAACAGTATCTCTGATCAGGCCTACTTTAGATGTAAGTGCAACTTTCATCATACTCGTACGAGTATGTATGAAATACGTTACACTTATCCAGTGCTCTATTGCTCTTAATAGTCATTACACATTCCTTGTCAGGGGACTTAAGAACCGCGCAGAAGGAAACCTTGCCACTGCCAACATTATTAAATATATCAGTGACCTGGCAACGGCTTTCCTTCAATAATTTACTTTCCATATTACAAATTGTTGCACTTATTAAATTTGAAATATAAGGTGGTTAAGTGTGTTTATGCAAAACTTTAATTATAGTATTTACTCCTTTTTTTGTACATCCCCCTGCAACTTCCGAGAAAGAAATGCAGACTTAAAACAGGTCTACTCACAGGCCAGGTCCTAGTAGCAGCTCTACGGCAATACTCAGGACCAACGTTATCAACTACGATCCACCGTTTCAGCAGGCAGTTCACTATTACCTGTTGTCTTGTGTTCTGTACTAAGGTTTTAAATATTTTTTATATAAGTCTTAAAATATATATTTGCATAGTTTATGCAGTTGCTCTAAAATGGCCCGATTTTAACAATCACAATCCAACTGAGCTCTCTTTAAAGTAGGTCGCCACAATACTCTGAATTTAGCTGCAATTAATTGACTGCGCACTGGTTGTATTTAGTATTAATATTTCTCTTGCGCTTGCGACACTCTGAAAATGGGCTTTCTATGTGTAATTAAACTTAAAATGCATAACGGTTAATAAAAATGGAAAAAAGCTGTGCATTTTTAAATGGGAATCAGTCAAGTTTCGAGCGATTTGCCTTTTTGAGTAACCACCAGGTCTTCCGCAAGGCCTTATCGTCATGCTAAGCTTGGCAGCTGGTTAGCAATTTCCATCATCCGCAGCAGCCAGAAACTTCTCTGCCGCTAATGACAAACAATTTGGAAAGAGGGAAAGAATTGCAAAATTTAATAACGCGCACCTAATGCAACTCGCACTCTGCCAGCCCCCTTTCTGCTTTCTTCGCTTTCTTTCTATCTTAGAAAGCAAGCGGAGCGCTGAATTCGCAGAGCGGCGCTGAATGCCCCGACAACTTGCCACACAGGTGTAGTCTGTGGCTTCAGAGCGAGGGCCGCTTGCTCAGCGGCGCTCAGCCAAGCCGATCAAAGTGGCTCGCAATCTTCGGCGACGGCGGCTTCAACTGTGGCTGAGGCTGAGACTGAGACTGAGGCTGCAGCAGCTTGGCCAAGAGCTGTAAGAAAAAAGTGTCGACAGTCTAACGACGAGAGCTGAAGCATAAAGACATGCGACGCCGGGTGCAACGGCCGTTAAAGTCATTGAACGTTTGCATTTAGAAAAGCCACTAAACAAGCCACAAATCAAAAGTAATTAGAAAACAAAAACAATACCAGTACCAGTACCAACAGGAGCCACAAAACGCACAGCAAAAACGCAAGCGAGTTCGCCAGTGCCAGTGCCAGTGAAAAAGTGTAGGAAGACTTGCAGCCGAGATGGTAGTGCAGAAGGCGGCCACGCCCACAGCGGCCAGCACGGCCAACTGCTTCATGGAACAATACCAGCAGTACGCCTCGCATTGCGAGACAGCGGACAGCGGCCACGGCAGCGATCTGGAGGGCAGTCCCCTCAGCAAGTCCCTGGTCAAAGATGTCGCCAAATTGGAGCTCCACTTGCGCACCACGGAGCTGAGGGTCAGCCAGGAGGCATACACGCTGACCGACAGTGAGGAGAGCGAGCCCTCCTCCCTGAGCAGCGACTCGCTGCACTCGACCTCCACGGAATATGTGCGTCAGGCGGCCTCTAAGCCCAGTGGCCAGTTCCGGCAGCGTCAGAAGTCGCTGCGCATGCTCGACAGCCTCTTGCCCGATTCGCTGCTGCGCGACATTCGCGATCGACGCAACGAGTATGTGGTTAAGTACACGACGAAAGAGCAGACAGCGGAATCTACAGCGACCTTGAGAGCGACCTCGACAGCGGCAGAAGCACAGGTCAAGGACAAGCCAACGGTAACGGAAGCTTCGCAGAATTGTCGTCTCTCACGCGAATCGCTGAGCGAGGAGAAAATCGAAGAGTTGCGCGCTGCCGTCGAACGCGCCAATTTCGTGCAAGCGGCCGAAACGACCACAGATAGCCAGCCCCAATCACTGCCTGCTCCCAAGAGCAACAACAACTACAAATACGCGGATGATCAATACTACAGCTTTCACATCAACGAGCACGAGAATTTCAGCAGCTTCGCAAGACACGACGTGGATGGCGACGCCGATCATGCAACGGGGAGTGGCAGCTGCGGCCTCTTGGACCAGCACGACGTCTTTGCGGGCTACCGTGACATTAGCTGCTCCAGCTCCAACCAGTCGACCATCCGCTCGGCCAAGGGAACCGTGCGCGGAGTCAAGAATCGTGTGCGCAATGGAATAGCCACATTCTTGCAGCTGCATCAGCAGCCAAATGTCAAGGTGAGTGGCGAAACCATCTTCAGAGCGTACGGTAGACTTCAATCTACAATCTAATGACACTTGCCTAAAATGTCACAGCCTCAGCTTATAAATTGTAAATTGGTTTTTCAATAATAAGTTAAAGATCTCTGCGGTGCAGGCTCAGGGCTTACAAATTAGTGGTGGCATTTGTTCCGGAGACGGAGAATCAACTTCTTGATTGACGAAATTATGACGTTTTATGACGCAAGTATCATTTAATTCTAATTTCAAATCTTTCAATGTAGAATGATTAACTCAAGAGAGCAGACAATTTATCTTTAGAAAGCAAGGCCTTACTATTAGACAACGAACATAAATTAATCCCGGATTAAGCACGACTTATAATTAAAAAAAAAAAAAACATCTTAATTAACTCATGTGCTGGAAGCAGCCCCTTTAGTCATAATTCAAAGGAAGCTGAACATTCAATAACTCTTAGCCTTAGAAGGCACAAATTCCCTAAATAACTCTTTCCGGGTTAGTCTCGGGTTAAACAATTCGTTAATATATATTTATATCTTGCGTGCTGACGAAGACAGAGGCACAATATCTTCAATGGCCACTTCAGCATAGAGATGAATGCTCGTAATAATGGTTTGTCTTGAGTTTACTAAAAAAAACTAAAGATTGCTTTGCCTATAGTCCGCTATTCGAATGGCATCTTTCTTGTTTTGAAATCTGAACTTACAATTTGTTTTACCTGATTCCGAGCGCAATTAACTGAGCCGAGTTAGAGATAATTGGAAGGTCTTCATGTATTTAGACACAAAAACATTGCGTTTAGTTTTTTCGGACACTTCTGTGCTGTTGATTCTACAGTTCGTGACTGGTCTGCGTAAACTTTTTCTCTCACGCACTGAGGCCAGTTACCTTTCCATAAACGAGTACTACATACTGCATAGGTTTTTGTCAGTCAGCCAGTCAGTCAATTAGTCAGACAGTCTTGTCTGTAATCTTGGCAAATTATGCAACGTGTGTGTTTGTGTGCGCATCTGCAAATTGTTTATTTACAATTGCTTACACATTTTTGGGTGAAAGTGCTCACGCCTTTCCATGCTACACACACACACACATACACACGCACACGCACACACACACACACACACACGCACACACACGCATTTCACATTACACATCTCACACTTTACATTTCACATTTTGTATTTACGGCTGCTCGTGCCGCTCGATTGTGCGGCTGCTCATTTTTTTTTTAATCTAATGAGTTGCGTGTGGAGCGGGAGCAGATGCGGGAGCTGAAACTGGAGCTGAAGCTGTGCAGCTGGAGCTGTGAGTGTTGCAGTGCAGCGGCTGCTTTTCTTTCGCCATGTGTGCGCCGCTTCTTCAATTATAATGAAGGCCGTTAAGTGGCTTATTTGCCGCTGTCGCTTGTACTCGCATGTGTACAGTGAAAACTCCCTTAATGGGCAACTCTTTTATTCGGACACCCTCTTCGGCGGACACTTTTTCTAAAACATTCGATCGGTGTATAAAGTACTTGTATTTAAGTATCCCCTTAAGCGGACACTGCGCTTGGGCGCATAAAAATTGGCCGACCGTGAGTGTCCGGCCAAGAGAGTGTTCACTGTACAGTACGGGCATATGCATATCGGCGGCGGCGCTAAGCGAGCGATCTCCACTCGTTAGCGAACGCTCTTATTTAGACATCAGTACAACTAGTCCCATTTGTAGCTCTGTCAGAGATTAGCGGTTGATGCCATCGGGAGAGCATCGGTGGCTAATACTTGTAGAAAGCCATCGTCTGAACGATTGCTGTCACAGCAAAAGCATTAAAATAATGATGATTCCCCGAACCCGCTAGTATCTTCATTTTGTCCGGCACACATACCCTCTATATGTATGTGTATCTAACTGTTTGGTAATCAATGTTCATCAACTCTAATGACCTTTCGGGCTCTCGTTTAGGTTTTCGAATCTATCGGCGATTCGTAATTCTTATCAAGTCATCAGTGTGGTTTTGTTGATATCAGTTTTCTCTGGGCTGCTCTCTTAATGGGCCGTGCATAATATTTAATTGTTTTTATGGTTTTTAACTTTTATTGCCACAGACTACGCTTGGCATTTCACTTTGCGGCTAAGAAATTTCCCCCTTTGTCTGTCTTGTGTGCTTATTTAAATGCTAAGATTTTAGATCATTTTAATCATTTTAATTGTGTTGATTTGCCTTTTGCGCTGCTTTTCACTTTCTTCAGCCACTTGAAGAATTGATGGAATGTGCCGCCATACCACACGCCCAGCCCTCAAACTCTGCAAGTGGAAGTCTACAAGTTGAAGACTTTAGTGTTTCCAATACTTGTAGCATAAATTAAGAGATGGTAGAGAGCAGGGAAAAGAAATGCTTGTCTTCTTTAATGGCTTTATAGCGGCGCACATGCAAATTAGTTGGCTTTCAGAAGCATTTTGGCTTAACAAAGGCGGCAGAATGAACAACAATAATATGAAATACATACATACGCATGCATAAAAAGTGGCTCGCTATTAATTACAATGAATGCAGAGCTAGCTCGAGCTTTTTATGCTGATGATGATGCCGATGAGTGAGCGCGCTCGTAAACATTGAAAGTGAAAATGTTGCATGCAGATCGGCTGTGTTTACATATAGTATATACAGCAGATATGGCATACGAATTCCCTGCTCAACTTTTGGCCTTTGGCTATAATTAAACCAATTTTTGGCAGCTGCTACACAACTCGCCAATTTGTTTGTATAACACTAAAATGCAACAAGCCTTGATCTTGGCAAACGTTTTCTGGTACAGATTGCCTCAAAGTTTTTCGTTTGATGGCTTTCTGTCAACTTCGAGAAGACGCCGAGAGCAACAGCAACAGCAGCAGCAACAACCACACACCAAGTGACTATGGTACGAGTATTAGCCTCTATGTGGCTGCCGCAGCTGCTGCTCTTGTGGTGTTTGTTATTGTTGTTGTTGTTGTTGTTGCTCAACTCTTCGATTGCCAATCACTGTTGGCTATACAAGTGACCTGCTTTCTCTTTTCCATTTAATGTAGCAGTGTGGCAGCCAGAGTGCTGGAGAGTGGTGCAGAGTGGCAGGTGGGCATGAGGCTGGAGGCTGGGTATGGGGATGGGGGAAGGGGGGGGCGCTCTCGCATCTCGCTATTTGTTTGTCAAAATTACATGACTTAGTCGTTCAAATCACGTGTTAATTGTTTATGTTTTGGCAAAGCAGCGATTAAGCGATTTTGTTTATACCGAAAAATTGTTAACCAGGTGACATTGAGCAAACAGCAATGCTAATCGGCTAATGACCAAGCAGGTTTTCCCTCGCACCTGGCCAAGAGCGGGCGAGAGTTTTCACCGCCGCACAGGTCCCACCGTCCAGTCGTTGGCGAGTGATGAAAAGACAAAAACAGTCAATTGTATAAATGCTACATACACATAGTCGATTGAATTGGAAAAACAGCTAGTCAGCAACATTCACTCGGCGACAGTCGCCCGCTTGTCTAAAACTTGACTTTCCATTTGACCGCGGTGACAAAACTAACAACTGCAGCAACCACCGCTTGCTTGTTGTTTTCATATCAAATGTGTGGTTGTTATTGTTTTTGTTAGGTAGCTGGCTGTGGCTTTGAACTTTTTCAGTTTTTCAGAGTGTGAGCTGAAAATAAATGAAATATATTTATTTCTTTTTCGCTGACAAATGCAACGGCAGTTGGCAGCTGCTTGGCTTGGCTATCTATTGTTATTAATTCTCCACTGCGGTTGCCACAAACTTTTGAGCAACGGTGTTGCCTCAGCTTGTGCTGCCGCTGCATGCAAATTCTCGTCACACCGGTTTAAGGCTGAACACGCAGGCTGTCCACCTGCCCGTCCATCCGTCCACCCGCCTGTCCGCCTGTCCGCCTATCCGTCTGCCCGTTTGACCGCCTACCAGTCTCCAACTCGCATCCATAGATTCACAGCTACATCGTTGCATAGTTCATTGATACCCAGAGCGTTCATTAGCTTCGGTGTATTGCCGAGCAGACGGCACCAAAGTTGGCCAAATAACGGAAATGTTAATTGTCAAATGAAATGAGCGGACCGGTTGCCTTACAAAATAAGCCATCATACTCGTAAATTGTCGGAAAACCGCCGCCATCTCCGTTGTCATCATCCATTGTCGCTTGTCGTTTGTTGCTTGTCGATTGCAAGCTGCCAGTTTTCCCCATTATTGCCTAATTGAATTGATTGATAACATTTGGCTCCGATGTCCGATTACGACGAACAAAGCTAATGAACCTGCAACACAGTTCACTGCCTACTGCTTACTGCTGCGGAGGTCCACTTCTCCTCCTCCTCCTCCTCCTCCTGCCCCTCCTCCTTCTTGACCATCAAGTACTGCATTCGCTCGTTGGTTTCAGCCAAGGCCTTGTTCTCATGTCTGGGGCATAACAAACGCGAAAAATCTGCCCGCCATAGCGAATGTTGCGCCAATTTTGCGTCTTGCTTTTTGCGACCTCATTTCGCAGCTTTTCGTTTTTGTTTTTGGTTTTGGTGTTGGTTCTTCGGCTCGACTACTTCCAATTGCACTCTCCAATGCTTTTCACTACGCAGGGAGAAGAGTAAACTCGAACTATTCAGAGCTTAAGTCGATGGCGAGCGGTCAGAACAATTCAAACTGCGAAATACTATTTTTAGCTCGTTTTTTCAATGTCAGAATCGACGACCAATTTAAATCGATTTAGGTCTAGTATTAAGCTCTAAACAAAGGTTGTGTGCAAGCAGAACTAAATGTAAGCCCCGAAAGTGAAAATTAATGTAACACCCGACAAGTTGAAAACAATATACGTATGAAGGCACAAGAAAGGTTAGATTACAAACAATGCAAACTTTAGCCGCAAATTATTGTGCTTAAGTATTCTGAGTTAGTTGCTGCCTACAATTTCTCATTTTCCCATTTGGCTTTTGTCTTCGATATTACATTTAATCCTTATTTGTAGACCTGCAAAACAGTCGATGTTGACTGCATCGATATTTTTAATATTTTGTTTGCGTTTTTCTCAAAAATAATATCGACTAATCGGTAAACGAAAAAATATTATTGTCATTTTTAATGGGATAGAACATTATTAGCGACACTTTCAAGTAATAATGTGCTAATTCGAGTATAGCAGTTAACTTTTAACAATTAATCGATTATCCAAAAACAGCTCAATTTTAGCTCTACCTATTTGCCTCCAGAAGGATTCCTTCTTTGACTCATGATAGAACAGGCTAGGTTTGAGAAGCTTTACATGGGTGTTAAAACAATGTCATTCATTGTAGATTGTTGTGCCTTCTTGCGCTGATTTTCGTGATATATTAAGTATTAAGACCTATTTGCTTAAAACAAGCAACTCATAAGAGCCCCAAACATAACGTGAAGTTCGTGTAGCTAGGCATCTGTCTGAATACGATGATTCGGGATAAAGAATCGGAAAATGCTCTTTAAAATTGACATCTCCTTTTATAACAGGCGGATTAAATCTGGCCAATGAAAAACAAGCTTTTACTAATTTGTCGCCACTCTACACTCTCTTCTATAAAATTTGTCGGATTTGTTAAAGCTTTTCAATAATTTGTGGTTAGTGCGTTCTTCAGATTTATGAAAACCAAAATAGATATTGATATTAACATATTTTCCCTAATTATCACTTCTTTGTCCGTTTTCTCCCGTTTACAGTGTTACAAGGAGAAGGACCAGGGCAAGGTGGTGCTCTACACCACCAGCATGGGCATCATCAGGGACACCTACACGAAATGTGCCAATGTTAAGCAGATCTTGCGAACACTGCTCATCAAGTTTGAGGAGCGGGACGTGTTCATGAGCGTGGAGTATCAGGCAGAGATGCGACAACGCATGCAGACGGCGCAGATACGCGTGCCTCAGCTCTATGTGGAGGGTCAGCACATAGGCGATGCCGAGACTGTGGAGCGGTTGAACGAGTCGGGGGAACTGCGACAACTACTGAAGCCCTACAAGTCGATCTCGAGCACCTACACCTGCCAGACTTGCGGCGGCTATCGCCTGCTGCCCTGCCCCTCGTGCAATGGCTCCAAGAAGTCGGTGCATCGGAATCACTTTACTGCCGAGTTTGTGGCGCTCAAGTGCATGAATTGTGACGAGGTGGGGCTGGTCAAGTGTCACAACTGCTGAGGAGAAGGCAAGGCAAGAGCAGCGAAGGCAATCCATTTGCAGACGTGTCTCTCCAGCTCTTAATTATACGTGCATTTTGTAGCTACTCTCCCATTTTTTTTGTACGCTAATTGTAAGACCCACTCTAAGCTTAGTCAACAAAAGATAGAGAGATAGAGAGAGAGAAGGTGAGAGAGTGAGAAAACAATGACAACAAACAACATCGTAGGCTTAAGTAGTAAATAGTTTGAAAGGCTAATGCGTTGAAAAGAACATGTCTCTGTGGTCTTTCTTTATTTTCTTTCTGTTTCTCCTCCACATCCTTCCTTTCAGGGCTCCCCGCCCTCGCGGTGCTGGGCAATTATGTAAACCTGGTCAGGAGGCAAGGCTCCTCTACTGTCCGGCCACTCTGCACACTGACCATGCAATTTTCTCGCGCCATTTAATTTTTGTCGGCTATGTTGGAGCATGTGCCAACCCCATCCGCCCATCCGCCCATCTCCCCCTTTCCCATTCCTTTCGCCAGCTTTTTCCTGTTGGTGCTGCTCCCATTGCCGTTTGCTTTTGCTTGTGGTGTCGGTGTCGGTGTCTTTGTTAGTTATTGTTATTGTTTTTTTTTTAATGTTATTTTCCACTTGGCTCACACTTTTGTTAACATGCTGGCCGCACTGCTTCTACCCATCGGCCCACACCACACCACTCCACACACGCATGCACTCACTGACCGAGCGACCAACTGACCAAACCCTTCAGCATCAGCGGGGCGCTGTAGAAATTGTTGTGCTTCCGTTTTGTTGTTATTGTTGTTGTTTTTGTTGTTGTTTTTGCTGGGTCGTTAAATTCACAGGCGGCTACATTGTAATTACCAAGCCGAGCAACCCAGCGAGCGACCGCCCCAAATCCTCAGCCAAGGCGCTTGATTTATGTGTGCAGCTCCGAAAGTGGCGACTATAGCGGCGTCACTGCCCTCCAGCCGGTCCGCATCATACGCAATTTTTCATAAACAATTTGGCACAATAACACAATATGCGCTTCTTGTGTGGCAGTAGGGGCGCATGAAGACTGGGGGCCGACGGCTGAGTCAGCGGGAGCAGTGTTGTGGCGGGGCGTGCCGTGCCATGCCATGCCATGCCGTGGCGTGGGCGGGTGTCGAAAACGTGCAATATTAAAATAAATATTGTAAATACCGGTAATGCTGCCAAACGTTGACGCCAGCACATGAGAGCTGGTGAGCTGGTGAGCGGGTGAGTTGCTGCTACTGCCACAGTTACTGCCACTGCCATTGCCACTGCTACGGCTACTGTTACTGCTACTGCTACTGTGGCGGGTAAGCCGAGCTGACTGCGCCGACTGTCACTGGAACTGAGGCCACACACAAAAATACACAGAAGGCTGGCAGTCAGTGAACAACACTGCGCAACATGCTTTTTGCCTTTTCCGATCAGCTCGAATACAAGTATGTGAACGTTTGTTAGAAATTGAGAACTATTTTTAATCTATAGCTTAAGATCTTACAATCATCGAAACATATGTAGCTCATTTATTTATTTTATAAAAAATGTATTTGATTTGACAAGTCGGATTGTTAATCAAAGCATTAGAAATAATAACTTCTGTAAATAAACAATAATAAATATTTATACAAATTATTTTAAAGTAAAGGATACTTCTTCTTTGTTTGATGAATTATTTATTAGTTGGGAATCGATTGATTTCTTGATGTTTATATTTCAAGATACAAACAACAGCCACATGAAGTCAGAGAAGCTCTGACTCTTGCTGCCGGATATTGGTAGAGGACTCTAGCCAGACTGTTTCGATAACCTCGAGGCGGTTGCTATATCTGCTGGTATGGAGGCTAGTTTACACATATCCGTTTGGCCATCCATAAGATATCAGAGAACTTTATAACCATAACAAATTGGATCTTCACTCCCTTTACGTAAATATATAGCCTCTATTCGATTTCTTTGAAACAACTGTAATGTTATATTCATAACAGTAGACTGGAGTAGTTATTAGCGTAGCCAATCAAGCAAGTTTCTATAAAGTGTCGTTCTTTGAATGATTTAACATTATTAATTAGTGGTTTCAATCGATTTTTGGAATTTGTAGCCATTGTTGCGCAATTCTTTGGCTCCTTTTATCTTGTTGTATAGTGTAGTTAGTCAGCCCAACAGCCAACAGCGAACAAACCAGGCAGACGATTCGCCGAGCCTGCCTGGCAACCTGTCGCCACTGCCGTGGCGTATTTGAGTCGAGTTCCGTTATGGCGTAATGGCATTTGGCGCCAGAGAGCACCAATAAGGCAGGCAGCAGGAGGCAGTTAAACCTTTTAAAAGCACATGCCCGAACCCTGGCGTGGTGTTGTTGTTGCAATTGCTGTTGTTGTTTCTCTGTTGTTAACTTTATCCGAGGTAATTAGTTTATGCGCGCAATTTCATGTGCAATTCGGTCATTAATATTTTTTGCGTTCTACTCCTTTTTTTGCTTTTGTGTGTTTGGGCTGCTGCTGCCAATGCGGCTGACATTATTTAGCCATCATTTTGGTGTAGCGCTGCTTTAGTTGCTGGCAGAAAATCTAAAACGAGCTCTTTTAATGCTGCATACTTTTAGGCGCAGGTGTGGCAGCACACACTATAAATTTGCGAGTGGAGCCCTGCCGCTATATTCCCAATTGGCGACAAATAAAATTAGCAACACATTATGTTTTTGGCAAAAAGTTTCAAATTGTTTTGGCCCCCGACCCGGCTCGTCCCGGTTCAACCCGGAACTGAGCGCGTCCTCATTACAGCCGATGCGGTGGCTCTCGCTTTTGCGATCGTGTGCGAGCACGGCAGCAGCATTAACCGGTGGGTTGGTAGGTTTGTGGGTCGATGGGTCGGTCGGTAACCAGCCCAGTCCGACTGGTGGCTACAAATCACGAGTAGCTACTCAACGGATTATTAAGTGAAAATTATGGCACTCCTAAGGCTCATAAAGCATTTAGAATGCTGGAAGCAGCAGCGGTTAGTTACATTTTTTATTGTCATTTTGTTGGTTGTTGCTCCTCACTGATGCGGCTGCCTGCATTGGTTGTTGAACTTGTTGTTGCTATTGTTGGCAGTACAGCCCTAGTCCTCTAACCCATTTACCCATTTGACAGCCATAAAACTAACACAGCACACCACATTACGGCTCGGGTGGCTTCTTCGCTTTCTTTGGCGGCTGCTCCTCCAGAGTGTGTGCATAAGTTTTAATCTGCCTTTGTTACAATCAACTGGAGTAGTCACTGCTTAGCAGTGGCAACAGGACATGAAAAAAAAAACGCGAACTACTTATGTGCAAATGGGTCTGTAGCACCGTACCTTATATACCCTTACCAAAAATATTTGTACAAAATTATTCCCCATTACAAGAAATTGGAAAATGAAAGTGAAATTTGCTTTTCAGTTCATCCGATGAGTACTTGGAATATTCCTTTAAAAGACATGTGCAAAAAGGTTGTGCCATCATTTTAGGTTTTACAAGCGGAGAACTTGAGCGTCTTCTAGGATTGAAGTATTTTCGAAAACGTTATAATTGAAAACATGCGTAAACATCTATTAGTTTACTGATGGTCATGGGAAAGGATTGGCGTCACTTATGCGAATACTCGTAACAATAATATTTGATTCGAGGGACGCATTCTTATGACCATGGGACTCCGCATGACAAAGAGCGCATAAATTCTCAAGTTCCCGAGAGTAGTAAATAAAATAAAAACGGCAAAGCGCAGCAGCTGAATAGACAGCAAAAGTGTAAGCAAACAATTGATTAAAATTTATGCGTCTTACTCAGAGTGGAGCTTGCACCAAATTACATACATCGCATCACACATATACATCGTAGAATATATTGTCTGTCTACGCACACACACACCCACACTCCTATACATTGGCACGCATGCCCGTTATCGAAAGTTTGAAAGGGAACCCAAATCGCAATCCAACTTGTGGGTAAACAACATTTTGATTAAATTATTTTAATGGCAAGTGAGAGATATATGGTAAATATATGCATTATATATGTACATATGTATATGCACTCGTGTATATGTATATATTTTATATTGCGTGAGCTCCCTACATCAGTGCAGCCAATTAATTCAGCTGTGAACTATTAAAGCACACACCGGGCGCTCATAAATTGAAGCGCGACTTGAGCACATGAGCTGCGCTGCCTCTGCCTCTGTTACTGTATGACTGACTCTGCCTCCTCTTCAGCGTCAGCATCAGCATCAGCATCAGCTTTAGCCTCCGTCGACTCAATTCTCCAGAGTGAGCTGTAAATGAATGAATATTTCATAGATAGGGCGAGCTCGATGGACGCCTAACCGCCCATCAGCCTCAGAAGGCGCGCACACTGCGAGAACATTTCACTAGAGATTTCAAAAAGGATTTTATTTAAATTGGAGCCGCAGACTTTTACAAAGAAGCGTATCGAGTATAATAAATTCTTTGGTTTCATTCTTACATTTACTTTCTTAAATTATTTTAACCAATATTTTCGCTATTATATTTTATTACGCCTTTCAACCCCGCCACTGCTGCAAGCTTACAATTAAGACGGCACGATAATGCTCGATCTATACAACGTTTTATAAATTTGGACTTAGTCTCAATATTTGATTGTTGCAAGTGGGAAACAAAAACCTCTTGCTCGAAATATTTTCAGTGTCCGACCGGTGCAATAGCGCGCTAATAAAAATAATTCCTTAAGGAGCAGAAATGCAAATATTTGAAAATTATTATAAAACAGGATTAATTGTAGGATATTTTTGAGTTAAAAGCAGTTCACACAATATTTAATTAGAGTGTGAGAATGACCAGTAATTTGTTTAATTATAAAATTATTATAAAACAGAAGTAATTGTAGCATATTTTTGAGTTAAAAGCTATTCACACTATACTTATTTAATTAGAGTGTGAGAACTTCCAGTTATTTGTGTTTTTTAATTTACAGTCATTTTAGCAGCTAGACTTGCACTTCTTTAACATTAATGTAGCTTTACTTTGCTTTTCTGTAGTATATGTGTGATACATTATCAGGATATTCTTTAAAAGTTGTGCCAACTAAATGCTCTAGAGCTAAAATTAACGTCATATCGTAGCTGGAAAAGTAAACAATACAATACAATACAATACTTAGTCTGTCCATGACCGTCCATCTAAACAGGAATAATTTTAAAATTTAAAAATTTAAATGTGAAACACACCCCCTCTACTTATCCTTTCTACTTGTAAAAAACTACTTT